TATCATGCAACTAACAAGGAGCTTATGATAAATATCCTATGGCCTTGATATGCTGGGCTGGGAGCAAGAGTAGCATGAGTCTGTCTTGCCTTTTCCAGTTATTTGACTAGTGCTAAAATTTCTGGATGCTTTGTAACAGCTGTGTGGACCAAAGCCTTGCATTCCTTCTCTTGAAGGAACAGTTTGCAGGTGATGTGTGCAGAAGTGCCTGGTGCTCTTATCTCACCTGTGTGAGAATGAGCAGGCTCAGGCCTGGGCTGAAACCTGGGAACTGGAACCTCTCCCGTTCTCCTGCTTCACACACATCTCTTGTGTGTTCCCATCTGGCATCTAGCATCTGCAGGGAGGGGAAAAGTCCTCTTGCACTGTCAGGTGCTGAAGAAGTCTGTAGGTATATTCATGGAGCAGCTTGATTGTAACTTTTTTTTTTTTTAAGAACAAATGCAATGTTAAAGAAAAAACCAAAACAACCTACAGTTAAAAAAACGGAAATGCCTGGGCTGGGTGCCCACCTTGGCAGTCTAAACAATCTGCTTTGAATTTCAGATTTGAATTTTCTGGGCAAAGCAAAAGATGTGGGGCAGGTAGGAAGAGGCTTTCTTTCCCACTGTGGCCAACTGGATGAGGATATGGAGCAGGATGCAGATGTGCTTGATGTAGCATGGCTGCATCAGTCTGCTCTATGTTCAGTGGCAAATATAGCTGAGAAATTGAGGGCTGCTTGAACTTTGCAAATTCAAGAGAAAGTTCTTGAGCATCAAAATTGGTTTTGAGAGACTGGCAGGCAGGACACCTTGTTTCTGAATGAAAAGGAAGCTCTGATCACCAAGCTTTTACCGCTGTTCATGAGTGTATTAATGGGCAATTCTGATTCATTGTAAACTAATTCGCAAATTGCATCAAGTTGGGTGAGAATTTGCCTGTAGTAGGATTTTATAGCCTCAAGGGCTGGCTGTTGTATGTTCATTACCTTTAATCCGAGGAAGAGCTTGAAAAGCTGGTCCTTTCCATTTAGCTGATTTATTGATGTCGAGTACGATGTAGCTCTCCAATTTACATTGTTGTACTGTCGTAGCTGAAATGAAACGAAGTTTTGGGTATCTTTATGCACTACACTTATATAGGTTTTATAAAATTCCGTAATCTTAACTGTAAAAAAGTTAAAAAAAATCACTTTAACTGCTGTTAATCTGGAAAATTTATGTATGTCTTACACACACAAAAATGTGTATAAGAAAACACACAAATCATTTTGGATGGTTTGAACAGGAAAATCTGTACTAAGCAATGGGGAGGGGGGGAAAAGATTTTGCGAAGGCCGTCTGAAGTTCAGTCTTGACATAAAAGCTCCCGTGTTAGAGCAATCTAACACCTACCTAGACCATTGCCCAGAAACTACCTTTCATTCTCGCACACTTATTACATTTTGACATAAAACAATGGAAACGTTTTGCATTTATGAAGAGCTCAAATGGTAGCTTGAAAGGAAATATTTACTTTTTAGACACTAAGTATCCTGAATTCTTCAGCTCTTTCTCAATGATAAAATCAGGGTGTGCTTTTAGTTTGAAGAGTTCGTCCTTCAGAGCTGTGTTCTGGTTAGCACACACCCTGACTCGCAGATAGAGGGGTGGTGGGCTGGCCCGGGTGAGCAATGGGCACAGCAGGAGCTGCTCTTGTTGTCTGCTCTTTAGCAGGTTTTTAGGTGTGAGTGGGGCTACAGCGCGTATTTGCTGGTGTTGCTGGTCAAGTTGAGTGAGAGTCTTGCAGTCTTGGCCTATCTTTCTTCCTTAAGTGTGTGGTTCTTGGTGGATGTGGTCACTGATGGATTTTCAGCTTTTGATAAGATTCACAGATCTATGGATCTGCTAATTGCAGGCTCCAGATTAGGCTTTTCTTTCAGCTGGGATGGTCAGAGCAGCTGTACAGTGGGATTGGTGATACTCGTAGGTGTCACCCTTTGTCTTCCACATGGTTCAGGTACCACCAGAGTCACTCTCCTCCCAAGCAGCTGCCAGCTGTCATCAGTTGTACAGCTGGAACTGCTGGGGCTGCCCTGGCATGGACTGACAAGATCCCAGGGGAGCTTATCTGTGTAGAGCCTTGCCTAGGATGTTGGGTTTTCTTGGCCTATATTAAAATACAATGTATTTATCTCCTCTGATTATGGAGGACTTTGCTACTCCTCTGTCACATTTAGCTGAAATCATCCAAGGAGGTTCAGCAGTTGTGCAAAAAGGAAAGGGAATGTGTGTGCATGCACAAATCTTATTTCTTCAGAGAAGCTCTCCCTCTCATCTAAACGGCCTTATTTAATAGAGAAGTTTCCTTTAAGTGAGCCCAATTGTTTTGACTGACTCCTTTGGCTATAATCTTTGAAATGATTGACTATGTTAAATCATGATAATTAGCTCTGACCATTAACCTCCCACAGAGCTGATTACAGGGATAGGGGTGATGAGGAAGTTTTTTATTTTTCTTAGTGCTATTGTTTCAGTCTGTTTGCAGAGTAAACACAATGAGTGTGTCAGTTGATTATGCTGCAGACCATCTCTGAAGGCAGAGGCGACAGATACTTTGTTTTCAAATGTGAAAGCCTGAGTTTTTAGAAAAAACATGCTTATAGAGATGTTGGAAAGGCTCTATGTCTATGCACCTGTGCCTTTCCAACCACCCCAACTGTTTACTTACCGAGTTGCTAGAGCATTTATCCTCTTTGCTTTGGCTTATCCGCAACACAATCAGATATACACTTCTGAGGGACTGCATTCTGATCATTGCTTTAAGATCATCTTGGCGAAGTTAGAGCAGCAGAGATTGACTCCTCCCCTCCAGCATTTTTACGGGCAAGCACAGCCCAAGCCGTAGAAGGTGTTTTAAAGGGATCTTGCTGTCTGACTGTCGTGCTCATAAATCAGTTATGACTGACACAGCTGTGAGTGCTGCAAGTAACAAAAGGCAGTTACTGATTTTAAGGGAAGATTGCTGCAGGAAGGGTGAGTGAGATTTTGTGCGTTGCAATGGGCAGCTGCCCATGCGGTGAAACAGCCCGGATTTAGCTGAAGGGGACCTTTGTTGAGGAAAGGAGAATCCTTGCTTGGAATAATTGCTTCTGAGCCAGGGAGAATTGACTGCTCCAGAGTGGAAACAGGCCCTCAGCTATCTCTGGCACAAACAGCAGGGCTGTTACAAATCTGATTTGAGTACCTAACAATAAGGTATTGAAAAGGCAAGCAGGCCTAGCAGTTCTCTCTGTATTTCCTTAGGTTCCTAATTTATGCTCAGCTTCACTTGCTGAAGCAAACCTGTAACTACACAAATATATACGTGAAAACAAGAGGGACAAAAATCTTCAGCAAAAGACAGGCAGAAGGGTCCTCAAAAAAAAGTTTCCAAAAATCCAGTTACTTTATATGAAAGGAAAATAGAACTGGTGCTGTAGTTGGCTGTATTTTCTGATGTGAAGCTATGAAATACTCTCTTCCCCCACAGAGCTCATAAAATTATGCTCTGTGTGCCACATGGATTATTTTGTTTTTCATTAAATAAAGAGGCTTGTAAACAGTGCTCTGTACCATAGAGATTATAATCTCCACCTTCCCCCTTCTGTTCCTTAAACACTGGAGCACGCACTTTACAGGTTGGACTTGCAGCATGGGGGAGTTCTGGCGATGCCCCAGCCTGCTGCTGGTCACTGCAACTTGGGGGCCAGGCAAGGCATGCTCCTGGCATCCAAGAGCATTTACTAGGTGGGTTCAGTTGTGCTTTTATCAAATCCTATTTCTGAAAACAAATAAAAGTCTTGTTTGCACAGTTTAAATGCCACTCTCTGTGCAACAGCAGCAGTTGGTTGGGCTAGATTTGTGGAGCTGGCACTGGTGCAGGTAGGGTAGAGCAGAAGGAGGAGACTGACTACTAAACTGGCTTTTATGTAGAAGATAGTTACCAGTTAAGTCGGTAATTTAGTTATTCTTCCATCTCTGTAGCTTTCAAATTTGTAAGGTGTAATGTGTTAAAAGTTTCATTGTCATACTTGTAATTTGAGCCACAATTCTTCACAGTGCTGTTGTAACACCCACGAAGCAGCACACCCCTATTCCACTATTTCCCATGCCTAATCTGTTTGCCTACTGTTTTATGTAATAGGCCTGCAACTTTTTTTAAAAATGCAGTTCTGTTATCAATAAGTTTATTGAACAGTTTGCAAAAGCAGGTGCTATTATCTTCATTTATGTTTCCATTATACTGGAAATTTCAGCCATAGCTGTGGTGAGCAGCTTCTCATCAGTATACACGAGCACTGGTCAGTTTGTACCACTTTCAGGCTGGAGGAAACTACTTTGCTGCCTATGCTACTCACTAATGGTCTTGTGTGTGTTACTGTAGGTTTATAACTAGATGTGGTGAGTGATAAAGTGTGAATTGAGACCAAATATGTTTACTTCTGTTCCATCCACTGGACCTATTGCTCATGTCCTGTTACAGAAAACTTCCCTGAAACTACTGACATGTGGCATTCTAAAAGCAGAGAATAGTTTAATTTTAAGGTGTTTCCACTTAATAAATACTGAATTATATTCTGTTTGGGTGAACCCTAGATTAGTATTAGATGCTTTTTCTTGTTTTTATATGTCTTCTTATGTCAGTCAAATGTTGGATTTTTTTCTCTAATCATGTGTACATGTAGCAAAAATACTGGGGCAAAATGTTCTTATATTGTTCTTCATTGTTTTTCCAAATAATTTAAAAATATTTTTATTGCTCTATCTGTATATTATTAAAACTACATTTGGATTGTTATCACAAGATCTGCACGCATTTAATTTTTTTAAGTACTGAAGATGGCTAATACTGATAAATATTTGTTATCAGGTGTAATGCAGAGATGCTTGTTTGATGTAATCATATAACTTTAATTGAGCTATTTGATGTTCTTTACCGTGCCTTGTGAATAAAGTTATCCCTTCTGGATCACAATTTTATTCTTCCTGTCTATGCAGTAACAAGCGACTTGTGGCCTTAGTGCCAAATGACACTTCATTCAACACCAGACGAGCCTACACCAGTGAAGATGAAGCCTGGAAGTCGTATTTGGAGAATCCCCTAACAGCAGCTACCAAGGCTATGATGAGCATAAATGGTGATGAGGACAGTGCTGCTGCTCTTGGCCTATTGTATGACTATTATAAAGTAGGTAATTCTGTCATTATCCCTCCCTGCTGTACTAGCAGGGACCACTCTAAGAGGCATCAAAAGAGACAGTTTTCAAAGACAGAAGTCACTGCATCTTGTTTTCTCTCTAATGTTTCCATCATGCACCCATTCCATTATAGGAAGCCTGTCTGAAACAGTTTTGATGTATTTAATTCTGGAGAGAAAAAAAAATATTAGAATTCCCATATTAATTTTTCTACTGTGTTTTCTTTTTGAGTATAGTGTTCCTCCTTTGCAAGAACATTTGATGATACTTGAAATATTCTTTAAAAAGTGTAAATGGGGAGGGCTTGTCCATCTGTACACTTGTCTGCTTTTCTGGTCCATTCCACACATGTTTTAGTTTGCTCTTTAACTGGGGTATCTCTCATCTGACAATTTCCCATGTTATTTTTGTTTGTATAATGATTGCAGTAGGCTGTATACAAACATACAATGAGGTCTAGCCCTTGCACTGGAAGTTTGCAGGACAGAAATGGATCTAGACACAGAGCCAGAGATCTAAGTCAATTTACAGAGAAAACACTGACATAGTTTCAGTTTGTCATGTTCTAAACCCAGGGCTTTACATACCATTTTGGTAACTTTTTAAAAATATATATATTTCATAGTGTTTAAGTAAAGCTATGGTTGAGATTTTTGCTGAAATCAGAGGAGAGTCCTACAGAGTGCATCTCTGTATAATGCAAAAATGTCATTCTGAAACCCATGCTGACCCCTTGGTCCTGGGCAAACAGAATCAGTGTTGCATCCCGAGCACTAGAGTGTGAAATAGTTACAGTGAAATGAACAATGAGCAGTGAAGTCAGCTATGGCTGCCTTGGACAGATGATCTTTGAAAATCAGCCCAGCAATGCCAGGTCCCCTTGTAATTCATGAAGAAATAACAGGAATAGGAATTAAAAACCTTTGCTTTTAGTATTTATTAATATAAATGCATTTAATGAATGGACTCCTCTTTGTAATCTCTGTGACATTGAATGTTCAGGAGAAGGAGTTGTAGGGAAGATGCTATATACCAATCTTATGGTTAAATATTGTTTTAATTGCTTTGCTGATTATGTTTCAAGAGATGTTCCTTGCTTTTGTGTGTTGCTGTCAGTAAACTGTTCCCAGTGAGAAAGGAAAAAGGTCCTTTGCTCTGCTTGATGTTGTTACCACGGTGCCAGAGTCTGTGAAATTAATATGGATTTATAAAATTCAGGGTGTGTATGAGCATCTGGAGTATTGACTTCTGTCTCAGTAATACCTTTGGATGTAGCAGTTGATGAATCTGATGGTTTTTTGTTATAAAACCAGAAAATAGCCCTTTTTCTTGTCAAAATCATGTTCTAAAAGACATGTCTGCTCCTTGTTCCAGGTAGTTGCAAAAGACTTGAGGTTCAGATGGAATAAGGTGGGATTAACATCTAAAAACCATTTCCAGCATTCAGTCATAACTATTTTTATCTTAAATAGGGAGAAAATTATAACTCTTGTTGATATCCCAAAGACAAACTTAAGTTAACCTCTGTGCTGTAATGTTGAAGTGTAGAGGACTTCCAGTTCACCAGACTCTTGAATTATCCTTATTTATAATCTGGCTTATTTGTTCTGACATGCTGGATAATATTTTTGAATAACTTTTTCCAGTCAATTTGGATTATTTGAATTTAACTGTTTGATTTATTTAACTTTTCCTTTTTCTTGTAGTGATATTTATCTATACATAGACCCTCATTCAGAGATAAATATATAATCTTAAAAGGGGAATCAACATATGTAAACTGTGGCTTTTATCCCAGTTAAAAAAAAAAAGAAAGAGGACTTTTAACCAGCAGGATGCTTAACAGGGAAAGGGGATGTCCCTAAAAGAAAGAACAGCTCTGAATATAACTGTGACTGTGCTGCTGTCTTACAGTTATTGTTGATGTTGTCACTGGCTACTGGAGTGCACTGTAATACTGTTTTTGTTTCTAAAATCAGATATTTTTCTGATGTTTCTTTAAAATATTTTAAAATAAAAAGCGTGGCTTTCGCCCATTCTTAGGTCTATTCTTGCTCTTTAATCCTGAGTTAATTGCTCTGATAGAGTGCATGCATCTTCTTGTGCAAAAGATAGAAGTTTTAGCTCCCAAATTAATGACTCAGCAAGAAAAGAAAAATATGTCATGGAAGCAACTTTGCCCTTGGTGATTTCATATCCGTGCTGGTGTCAGGACACCGGTATGTGGGAATACAAATCGTTTAAGTCACTTGGTGTCAATGCTGAGTCTGTCAAGGGGCCAGATTTGACTGGGGTTTTACCTCTCATAACTGTTGATACAATCAGCAAAGCACAAGTCAGTGTTTCTGATGACATACCAGCTTGCCCTGACCTGCCCCCATACTATGAAAGGGAAAAGATCCACAAACTTTCCTAGGTATGAGTCCTGCACTCTCCAGGCTTCTCTCTAACAGGAGGACTTACCTGGCACTTACTGTTTAATTGAAAAACCTTTTTTGTCTGAGCTAAAATGGTCTCAGTATAGAGCTCATCAAAACATTGTATCTTCCTTCTCACCTTGTTTTGTTCAGTGAAAAGTGAGTGTGTGTTTCTGGAATAATATGAGCTTTGATTTTGAGATATCTTGGCCTAGCTTGATATTCAAAAGATAGGACATAAAGGAAAATGCTTTGCTCCTGACTGGTGTACCTAAGAACTAGAAAAGAAAACAATTCCTATGTTTTTTCTCTTTGGAAATTTTCTTTCTGTTCACAATCAGTCTCCTAAAGAAAACCAACTCCTGGCATCTGTGAATTAGACAACACTGATAGTTAGATTTTTCTAGTTGTTGCAGTAGAACAGTCTGAAGCTGCAAATGCCTGACAGTTGCATTTACCTGACCCCATGCCTGGTGTTGTTCTCAGGTTCCCAGAGATAAAAGGCTGTTGTCTGTTAACAAAGTGAGTGATAATCAAGAAGACCAAGAGAAAAGGTACAGTATTATTCAAAATCATACACTCAGCTACTAAAAGTTGTTAATCAGTTGTGAACTGAAGGATCTGTGAGAGTCTGGGGGTTTTCAGTGTTCTTTCAAAAGCTAAAAAAATGAAGGCTGTTCTGGGAAGTACATTTTACTCCTTTTTACTTCTAATTGATTAGAAAAAATGGATAGTATTCTCAAACATGCAGTTTGGGAGTTAGCTGAGAGTTTCACTCTTTGTGTTTGGTGGTGTTGTTTTGCTGCTGCTGAGATTAGTAAAAACAGATTATCTTGACAGTTGGCTATTGGCCGTTGTTCTTTGTTTTCTTGTTGTAGGGCAAAAAGTGGGTGGTTTGGCCTCAGCAATCTCATTATGGAGCCTTATTCAACATAAATTAAGATCTGCCCAGCAAATAAAGCAACTCTTAAAATCATTTGCTTATAATGTTTTTCTCACTCCTCTCAGATTTCAGCTCTTCTCTGTAGGACAAAAGTGACTTGAGTCAAAGGATGCTGCCTCCTATTAAGATCTGCAGAAAAGAGTGTATACTTTTGTAGAGACAATGAAGTTTTTAAATACTGGAAGGTATCTCCATATAAAATTATGACAGAGATGAGCTACACAAGATTTATTTCAATGTAGCTAGTTTGTGACAGCCTTAGATGGTCTCCACTTACTGTTCATAAGGTGATTGTTTTAATAGGTAGTAGTATAAATTTATTGTTTCAAAATATGCTATGAAATGTTTTTGGACAGTTTTTCTTCTACAAAAACCAGAGAAATTCCTGATGTTCAATTCCTAAATTGAATGTGATTGACAAAACTGGCCTTCAGTGGAAAGCCAAGAGAGGAACTGTAGTGTCAGAGCATTTCCCCTGGGTTGAAAACAAAGCAATGTTATACCTACTAAAAGTTCTACGAGTTAACTATTTTATGTCACCGTAACTACTATCAGCAATCAGATTACTTTCAACAGCAACTGTGGGTAGCTGTGGGAATGTTGCTGAGGTTACCTTGCAGCCACTATAGTTACTGATCTACTCTGCTACAATGGAATTCCTGGGCTTGCTCTTTTAGAACAGCGTGGGTACCAGAGTTAAGCAAACATTAGAGCCCTGTCAACAGCCTGAAAGAGCATGCCATCAGTGTATGAATTTTGCTGTTGATATTCTGCCTATTTCATGTGCAAAATATCTACTATGAGTAATCCATGCCCTGCTTTACTCTTTATTCTTATTTTGTGTCTAAAGGCTATTGCACTGCCGAATTGAATTTGCATCCAAATTATAAGCTAAGACAAGAGAACCCTGGATACCCAGAATTTATTGTAACAAGTCAAATCAAGTGCATTATCTTTCCCCATTTGTTAAAGAGCTCTGAATCTCTCTGCTTGCCTCACAATTTCTTTTGCCTAGTATTTGTTAGTGTGCTACTTCTTATGGCAATGGCTTATCAGAACTGAAGAATCTTCTTCCCTGACAACTAAGACCATTAAGCTATTTAAAGAGGAGATTTGCTCTATCAGGACAGCTCATAACATTTTTTGGTTTTGTCTCACAGAAATTGTCTTAATACCACGGAAACTCAGAATAACTTGAGTGGGGGAGAGAACCGTGTGCAAGTCCTGAAGACAGTGCCAGTTAACCTTTCCTTGAACCAAGATCCTTTGGAGTCATCCAAAAGGGAATACAACACAAATGTGTCTGGGAGCTCAACACCCATCACAGGGTCCACAGTGACTGTGGTTAAAGCAGAGGAATTCACCCCTGTTTTTATGACCCCACAAACACACTATGCAAGAGGAGAAAATGAGGAGCACCGAGGTGTTATCTTTGAACCATATGAAGTGTCCAGCATGGCTCCCCACACAAATTATCTTAAAGATGATCAGCGCAGTACTCCTGACAGTACCTACAGTGACACCTTCAAAGATGGAGGAACAGAAGTAAGTTTTTCACCTCAAATTAGCATCTAAGAATGCAATAAAAAGCTGTAAGCAAGATAAGGATATTTGAGCTTGTAAACAAGATAAGGAGATTTGAACTGTCCACAAAAGCCATTAGAAGAACAGTGATGCTTATGTCAACAAATTAATTTCTACTCCTTGCTGTGTTCCAATCGGTCTGTGCTCTGATTATAAGGGAGCATCATGAGGCATTTCAGAAAACAATTTTAAAGATGTTTATTGAAAATTCTGAGAATAACAAATATTGATTTTTTTTTTGTTGTTGTTGTTGTTTTTTTGGGATAATGTGTCAAGTAGAAGATAGTTGTTATTCTGAAAGAAGATTTATTTACCATTAACAAGATCTACCTTCAGATCTATTCATAACAGTAAGAAGTAGCCACTTTGTAACAGAGAAATTCTAGATGTTCTTTTGAAAGTGCAAATGAGTAGCAACTGCCTCTGCTGCTGGATAAACTTAGGTAATTTATTCAGAAGCTGTTTGTTGCACTAAGCTCTATTCTGCAACACCATCAAGAGAAAAGATGGCAGAATTAGACTAATAGAGAGTAACAGAGAATTCAACAGGCAAGGAACAACTGCATTTATATGTACAGGAATGAGGAGAAAAAAAGGCAAGGAGAGCTCCTTCTAACTATTTTATAGCTGAGCTGAGTCAAAGTAATTTTACAATCAGCTTTAGTATTGTGAGTACCCTCTGGCTGCTTTTGCCTGCTGCAGAATAATGCAAACAAGCTGGAATTGTAGAAAGGTAATGACAATTTAAAGCTGACAGTACCTCTGCAAATAATTAGAGCTATTAAATGGTAAAACTCCCCTAGAGTTTTTCTCCTCCCAGCTCTACAAAATTGTAAATGTAAGGAAAGTACAAGGCAAGCTACATTAAGACTGAGCTGCGCTGATTGAGTATATGAGAAATCTGTGTGTTTGTGTACATGTATTATAGAAAAGTGCATTGTCTCCATGAGCAACACAGATCCAGGATGTCTGGAGGTGAAATCCATTTTCAGATACAGAATGTGTGTAGGTCAACTAAATGAGTAAATAATGAAGAAATCTAGCTTTCCATGGTAAAATTGGTATGATCAAACCTTGGATTAGAGACACTGCTCTGCATTATCAAATAATATTATTTCAGCTTTTTTTACTTGTTACTGGTAAATGGCTCTTCTGGTACCATACTCATGGCTTTCCCTGGGGTGCTGTAGCAGTAATTCTATTACATTGGTTTGTTCTGGGACATGCTGCTGAGAGGTTCCAAAACAGTCCATCTGCCCTGTGCAGAGAGCTGTCAAACAAACTTGTTGAATTTGGACGTAAAAAGGAATTTTACATCCATATGTTGGTTTTGCATCCCAAATCTTGTGTTATAATAGTTTTGTTACAATGGTAATATATTGTTACGTGTTTTTAAGATGATTGGTTAATAACAGGGTGCAGTACATGTCATCTAGGATTTCTGTGCAGTCTGTGGAGAAAAAAATAAGTTCAAATCTGCTTGCCTAAAGCGGGTGGAGTGGTTTTCTAAGTGCATTCACTACTCTCCATCTTCACCTTCCCTATTAATTATATAAGAGACACTGGACAATTAATTTTAGGTCCCCTGCCATAGTTGTTAGGGGAGATGTGTGCCACTATTGGTGGCCTTCTAGCCCCAAGTTTTTATGCACACATGGCATGGGAGCAGGAAGAGCTTTGCCACCCTGCTGCAGCCTCAGTCAGCACTGGGCCTGTCCCTTTGTTTTTCTCAACTGCCCAAACCCCAGGATGTGCTTTGCCCAGCTGTGCTCTGACTGCTTCTCCAGCCACTGGTTGTGTAGGCACCGCTGGATGGAGCAGGTGTGGGGAAACCATAAGGTAAAATGTCAAAAGATACCAAAAGAGACTTAGGCAAAGTTAGTGTTTAGAAGTAGGAGGGCAATTGTTCTTACTAGTTTTCCTAAGTGCTTGCAAGGTATTTCCTAAGTACTGGTGAGAATGACTGGCTTTGGATTTGCTCTAATACTTACTCAATTCTCAAAGACATTATAAATATATATTTAGAAATGGTTTCAAAACATTTATGGAGTGCCTTATTTGTGTTATACTGAAGGAGTGCTGAGTTTTTATAGATCCCTGTGGTATTGGACACTTTGGTCAATTGCTTGCTGTGTTTTTCGGATACAATTTTAACAATTATAAATATACTGTTCTCATCTCTTTCATTTTCTTGTTTAGCTGTGCTTAGTTTGTTAGTTCTTTATAGTGTAAACAAATTCTTTGAGGTTAGCTAAGTAAATTGTGTGTTCTTTACAATGTCAGCCTCTAACCTTATATAAAATGTGGCTAGAATATTATCTGCTCCAGTTTTTAGGTATTTTGAGTTTTAAATGGTTGATGGTTTCTTCTGAGTTGTCTTTAAATAAACATAGTTACTCTTCAGTTGGTATTTGCATTTCAATTTTATCACAGTATTTAATTTGTCATATTTTTCAGAAGTATCGGAGTGTGTCAGTGGGGGCTGAAGAATATATTTATGAACAAACAAGGTATGGCATAAGCTTTGCAGTGCTTTGACTGGCATCAGGCAGGAATGTATTTGGGGGCCTGTGTCCACTTCCCACCCTTCCTTTCTTCACCCTGGGGGACCTGCTGTGCTCTGTTGATGCTGCCAAGCATCAGTCTCCCCTTATTCTCTTGCTCATGTTAGCTCTTGGATCTGACCAGTTTATATCTTCATCTATTGTCTTCCCTCAGCATTGCTTCAAACTCATAATTCCTCTGAAGCCCCCAACCCCTGCCCAAGATATGCAAGATGAAAACTGTTGAGAGGTTTCCCAGGTAAAAAAGTATAGCTTTGACAACCAGGTCATGAAAAGTTTTTTCAGGATGGCAGAATGCACAAGTCAAATGTCCAGGACAGTTGAAAAAACTTCAAGAAAAAGCTTCAAAAATTAAAATTTGAAAAGAATACTGTTCTGCCTAAGCACAGAAGAATATGTATGTAGCATGGGCAGACAATGCAGAGTCACTTATCTAGTAAAGACTGTAATCACTAGTTTTTAAACTGATGCTTTATTTCATACTTGTGAATGGTTCTGTTTATATCTGAGAGATTACTCTTACTTTAGAATCAGGAACATGCCTACGTAGCTTTTGTGGATTAGGTATATGTCTGTGACTGTGGTGAAGGTTCATTACAGCTTGATATATTTTTCTGAAGACTGTTAAAACAATCATTAACTGCAGTGAGCTCAGAACTGAGTCATTATATAGGCAGAAGATGTGAAACTGATATTTAGCCAAGGCTTACTACACTGAACATTTGTAAAATTGAATCCTGAAGCATTGGTAATGTTAACAATTCTCACACATTTAAGTCTTTCATGTCATATTAAGAATGAAACCTCTGAATGCACATTAAGAAAACTGCCAGGAAAGATGTTTTTAGTTTACCTGGAAATGGAAGGCTCCGAAATCAGAATTTCAGATTGAAAAAAGAAGTGGTGAATATGAAAGTAATTGGAAGCCTGCTGGAAGGTCTCTTAGTGACTACACAGGGGTTGAGACTCATGGTGAGGTTCAGAATAGTTTTATAATAATTCGAGTGACTGCAGTAAGTTTTAGGAGTGAGAGTAATCCTCCTGCTATAGGGCATGCTTTGCTTGCGAACTGGAAACAAGAAAACTCTCAAGTGGTACTACACAGAGGCTCCAAAATTGGCCAAGTGCAACGTGGCTGGGATTTATATTTTTTTTGACTGAAACATACAGAATGCCAGGAAACAGAAGACCAGTCCATGGCAGAGTGTAGGCAGTTCTGTTAAGGCATTGTGTGTGTCTGATCATTTAAGCCCTTCTCAGCACACATCCTCATTAGTTCTGTCTGGTGTGAGGTTTTGAGGCACATGTCCCAAGGCACTCAGTGTGCTTTGGTGTGTGTCATGAAGTGCTCTTGAGCACGCAACCTGCAGTCCCTGTGTGTGATGCTAAATCAAGGCTGTGCCTCTTCCTCTAATGGGTGATCCATCTGTAGGACCAGCGGTGCAGCAGGATGGATGCTGGTTCTGCAGCACTGGTGGTCTTGTTCTTCCAGACCACTCAGACAGGTGCTCACCTGCCAGTGTTGGCAGTGCCTCTGTTCCCCTTGCACACAGGACAGGGGGGCTGTACCAGCACACACCACAGTGGAGGGGACTGCAGTGCCTTTGTGCTGCTTTCCCATTGTGTGCAAGAGCATTCATGGTGGCAGCAGCTGCATTGTGTGGAAGCACCAGTGCTGCTGTGAGAGGGTTGGATACCTAGATGAGTGTTTATTACCTTAGTTTTGCTTTGATTTGTAACTTCTAAGCAACTAGAAAAATGACTGGATTTCATTTAATAAGCTAAGAAGCACTTGAAAGCTGTCTTCATTTGATTGAATGATTGCTATTAAACTGAATAATTGATACTAAGCTGTCTGAAACTCCTTTTGGATAGAAAGACTTGATCTGTTGGGTTTTTTCTACCTTCTCTTCAAGTAGGGACTTAAATGTAATTACTAGTTATATGTTTTATTGTAGTTTTTTTTCCATTGCATAGTTAAAATATCTTTTGTTTTTTCTTTGTTTCTGTATTGCTATGGTAATACTATGATGATCCTATATTTGCCTGAAAGAGTATTTGCCTGAATTATCAAGTTAAGGATACACTGTTTTGGACCAACATATTCCTCCTTTTGGTTCTGCTCTGGCACTGCATAAATACTTTGCTGAATTAGAACTTTTGTGAAAGTGCTTCCACTGTATCTCCAGTTCATGAGAACCCTTTGCATTAAGGTTCCTGTGCAGTTTGAACTTTTTTTTAAGATCAACATTATTTTAATTTAGGAGAATGTGAGGAGCTGCAGGCATCATTTTTATTGGATTATTGTTCAAGCCCATTATTGGAGGTGGTAGCTGAAGAGGCTCAGTGAGAATTGTTTCCAGCTAACAGTTCACTAGTTAATGGAGACTTAACTTTTCAGTTTGAGAAGTGCTTTGAAGTTGGAAAGTTCTGTGAAGGAGGGTCTTTCTAAGATCTAAAATTTCAACACAAGAACTAACTGTTTTTCCCTGATGTTTTTTTCTTAAGGGAGGTTACTTGATTGAAAATAAAGCTAAATGTCGGCACTTCATTCCATCTAATTTTGAAGAGAAAGCTTATAAAACCCTTGATTTGCATGTTGTCTTTAAACAAATGAACTTACTGTCCCTTCTCTTTGTATTCCTTCTTTGAACTGTGCTGAAAGCAGCAGTTGGACTTTCCATTCTCTGTGTCTATCTTTTGTAATGTGTTTTATTCTGGTTGGTTTTTTTAAAAAAATATTTATTTCTCTTTCTGCAACACTTCTAAGTTTCAATGTCTGTGGTGTTGATGATTTCCTGCAGATCATACTGAATCCCCTCTTTGTGGGGTACACAGTCTTATAATTCATAATGCTTCCTTTCAGAGAAAGTACAGATATAGCCTTGGATCCAAGAAACTTCAGTCTAGATAGTTTTATGCTTGATTGTGGGATCTGATGAAGCTGAAAAAAGAAAGTTGCAATTTTAAATTGCCATGTGAGATATTCCCAGAATTTTGTTATTAGCTTCTTATGCCTTATACAATGCAATAATTACATAATGAAAGAGAAAAGGACAAAGTGATATGGATTTTGTGGGTGTTTCTCTCTTTGTCTTTTCAGCAGCACTTTCCAGTATACTCTAGAAGCTACCAAGTCCCTGCGTCAAAAGCAAGGGGAGGGACCCATGACCTACTTGAACAAAGGACAGTTCTATGCCATCACCCTGAGTGAGACGGGTGACAACAAATGCTTCCGGCATCCCATCAGCAAAGTCAGGGTATGGTCCCATTTCTTTCCTGGGTGGGAATGGAGCTTTGCAGATAGATATGGTTTTGGTTGATTGGCTTTTAGATTTTTACTTGGGAGAAGGACAGAGCAAGCTTATTCTCATGCTCAGTGTAAAGATGGGAGAACACCTAATAGATGGTGGTAACAAATGTTTTGCTGTCCAGTTTTTTCAGAACGTGGTCTTATGAGTTAATGATAGCCTCAGTTTATGGTTTGACAGAAGGTTAATTACACAGATACTACACTTAACACTGGTTAACTTATGGCCATGATTAAAGCAAAGAAGTACAAGATCTGCCACATCTACTCTATAGTCCATCTTCACTTCATCAGCTGCTTTCCAGTGCATTTCAGAGAGAATGTGAAGAATTTAATCCATCCTTTGTGCCATAAATTTTAAGTAATTTTCATTGTACAAGTGTGAGCTTTCCCTTGACATTTACCCAGACGTGTAACAAAAGGAATGATTTGCATCATAGATTCTATGTGTAGAATTGTATTCTGTGTATTCAGCAACATCTACCTGGTGAATGGGTCTCCTCCTTGGTAATGTTTTTGAGTTAACAAATCCTAACCCAGTAACCTTGGAATGAACAATGAGCCCTGTAAATTTTACCCTGAAGCTGGCAGGGCTGCATATGTATGAGGCTGGAAAAATGTTTCCATCCAAATACATGAAGCTCTCTAAAAATGTTGTGACTTTAGTCAGAGGAACCAATGAAAGTCAATGTGAGCAGTGAATCAGACAACAACCTATATGTTTCTATCACACATGAAGTTTAGAGAGACTCTTCCTAAACAGAGGCAATGATTTGGAAACCTGAATTAGCAGTTAATTTTTAGCCTGGTTTCCCTGGGACATGAGGCTGTTGGCTGAATCTGATGGAAGACTTTTCTGTTGCTGTACAATCTCTTTCCCTGCCACCCATACCTTCCCATTTTGTGGTTCTAGCTCTAGCACTTGTAGAGCTGAAACAGAAGTCAGGAGGTCACTGGTCTGACTGAAAATCAGTCCTCTCATGTCTGGTTGAGTGCACTGCCACATGAGTTTTGAAGCTGTGGCAGCAGAAGGGTGGAAATTATAAAGGAGAGGTGACACCACATCCTTCTGAAGGATGTAGCTGACCGAGGATTGTGAAACCATGTGCAACTTTCACAATCGTCTTCTGTTTGCCCCTACTCAAGTGACTGTTGAATTTATTGCCAATTCAATCCAAAGCTAACAGAGGGGCAAGAGGTTTTGAAGGTATTAAACCTCTACAAGTTCTGTGTAAGTGGTTCATAAAAACATTAGTGCTGTCCTTGGTGGAAAAGCCAGTCTTCATGGCCACTTCTGGTTAGTGCATCAGCTGGCAAGCCCCACACACACGAGGTCTACCCAGTAGGTACAGGCATAACCCAGGACTCCTCCACAGCGTGTACTCCATGCCTCATGCCCATGGAGAGGCTAGATAGATGTGGAAGATGTGGTGATAGTGTTCAGCTTTTATAGGTGGAATGTAGAAGATCACACAGAGTACATGGAGGGTTATGGTGGTGGCTGTGTGGGGGGGCACAGATGATGAATCAATTGTGATCCATCTCCTCGGCTTATAAAGCAACTTGGTAGTGACTTTTTTTGTGCTTAGTGTCTCAGGGTAAAAGTCAAACAGGATATTTTAAAGTGAAGTTTTTGTTCTCTGTGATTTATTTTCACTTAATTTTAATTGGTATGATCATTCTTTCATTGTTTTGTGTTGTTTTGCTTGCCTACTGCAGGACTTTTTCAAAAAGCCTATATTGCTTGTATAAAATTTTACATAAAAATTCACTCTGTTTCCTTTGAATCACAATTTAACAAAGCAAATTCAGAACATCAATTGAAAATCTTAACAAAATTCAGTAAATAGTTACACAGAATTTGTCATTAAATACGTATATGCAAGAGTCTTGCTCTCATAAAGGGTATTTGGACTGTATATACTAAATTGAAAATGTCTTGCCTTTAGCCAGTGAAGCTTTCTTTTTAAAACTAAGAATATGATTAAGTTTTATTTTGACTATAAAGAACATAACCCTGGGCCTAGCATTATTTTACAAGTACATTTCTTCTGTCCTGAGTCTTTAAGTACATTGTAGTATTAGACTGATTGAAACCCAATCTTCTACAATCCAAGTACTGGGAGAGGGTGGTGGCTGGATCAGAATTAGAGGCATATGGAGATTTTAATTTTTGTGTTCCTGACTATTAATTATTTTAACTATTGTGACTCTGGTGTTTTTTTCATAGAGTGTAGTCATGGTTGTCTTCAGTGAGGATAAAAACAGAGATGAACAGCTGAAATATTGGAAGTACTGGCATTCCCGGCAGCACACAGCTAAACAGAGAGTCCTTGACATTGGTGAGTGTAAGAACATCTCCAGATGTGTCAGGGAAGATTTCAGATATGGAAAGCCTTGCAGAGGAATATGGCATAAGATACTGGCAATGGCTTCTTGGTTCTACCACAGTTTTTGGCAATGGCACATTCCTGCTAGGACTGTGGGTTCTATGGAGCTGGATAGGGACCATGCAGAAGGAATGGTTCTCAGTGTTTGCACAGAAGAACTGCCCCTTGCATGTGTATTTAGTGGTGTACCACACTGGGAAATCAAGGTCTGCACCTCCTCAGGTGTGGCAGTGTCTGTTCCCTTTATTTTTCCAAGGGGTGATCCAGTCTTTGATCCAGCAAACAGTTACGTTAGCTAATTGATGTGGAATTGCAGCCTGAGAGTGCAGATGTCATCATTGTGGTGACTGCAAAGGAGTGTGCAGGATTCCTACACCCGTGGAGTTTGAGTCTTGTCAGTGTCAGCAGTGAGGGAGAAGCAAGCTCCACACCAGAGCGTGCTATCCTGAGAGACCTGTTTTACCCCTCATCCCATCTGAAGTATTTACAAGCCCATTTCAGCCCCAGCTGTCCTACCCGCATGCTCTGCAGATTTTAGCAGAGGAAGAGCACGTACTTGCTGCCAAGGAACCTGAAGTTGAAGTCAGTGGCAGTGTCTAGACATCAAGCGCTTCTCCCCTCCCACGTGCAGTTTACACATGCAGCCATCTGCACGGATTCCAGTCAAAGGAGTCGGCAAGACCAAAGCACACAAAGTCTATCTTGTTTTGACCGCCTGAGGGAACCAAACCATTGAAAGGCAGGAATGAGAGGGGGCAGAGAGGGGGGATAAACCAAGGCAGGGTTACTTGTAGAGAAAATTTGGAGACTTCAGGGGGCGATTGAACTGGTGATCAGGGAATCTGTCCTCAGGTGGTCCTAACCACTGTGCTGCCTGTAGATTTTAAAATGCTGCAGTTTCCACTGAGGCCTGGTGTTATTTAAGGTCCGAGTGTATTTTGTCCAAGCAGCTCTTCCAGAATCTCCTCTCTGCCTCTTGTCTTATCGTTATTCTGGCTGAACTGTTTAATTAACTTCTTTCTTTCCTCCCTTCCTCTCACTTTCTCTTCTTGCCCATTAGGATACCTAACACAGTAAAACTGCCACCCCAGACCAAATGATTTTTATCATGACACATTAAAAGAAGAAATAGGCCACGTCACAGCACTTTCTGAAGGCTGCCTGGTTTTTTTGTGCTAGTCCCTACAAGCTTGTGGTGGTAATGCTCATACCTTTGAAAAGTATGTGCTGAGCAGCTCACTCCAGTGTAGTGCCAGCATCCTCTGACTCCATTGCACTTGTGGTGTCCTGGCACATTTCAGTTGCCTTACCCCAACAAGTTAACTTCTGACACATATTCTGTAAAACAGTGCTCTGCAAAATATGTGCTATGCATGAGCTGTGTGTTTACCTGTGCTAAAGTGAGTATCTCTTAATTTTCCATTAGTCTGAGGTGAAATAGCTCTGCGCTGACTTTTGAGGCACTCTGGTGCGTATTCTTTGTTTGCACTGCAAACATGAGCAAAGCACAGTGTAGTAAGACTTACTGATAGCACTTCTTGTCAGATATAAGAGCTGAAAGAGCATGGTTCACCTCAATTTTCAAAAAGAAAAAAAGACCTAAATGTTGCTCAGTAGTGTTTTCTTGAGAACAACTAGAATATAGCCTTAGGTCTTACAAGTATGGTATTTCTGAGGTACATTTCATTTTCTTTGTGACTTGCATTATGGCTTACTGGCTTATTAGGCCACAATGGCTCCCAATTATTTTTCCCATACAAATATCAAGCTGCATTTAACAAAATCTTCTGGTTTCATCATCAAATGATCTAACTGAGCAACTTAATCCAAATTTGAAGTTGACCCTGCTTGAACCAGATAACCTCCATGGGTGTCCTTTCCAAGCAAAATTATATTGAATGGCTCTATGAAGATTTCCCTTTACGTTAAAAATTCAGGTCCCTGAAGGAGTCCTCTAAATGCTGAGTTAATGTTTGAGTTAACAAGTTCCTTTGTTAACTATACAGGCCCTGTGTAGTTAACGAAGAAAATTAAGTGTCCATAACTCTGCATCACCTGTTCCATAGATGTTGCTCTTATTTTAATTTGATGTTCATAGCCTGTTAAACATCTGTGAATCCTTTTTAATTGTTTATGAATGCACTTTTAATCTAGAGCATGATGTGGTCCTTAGCAGGCAGAGAATCAAATTAATTTGGGATGCTCTAGTTGTGAGTTCCAGATGGGTTGGGGGACTGTGCTTGTGCTGCTTTCCATAGTGGCAGGGGTCTGTCTGCTTTCTGGCCTGCAGTTATATTCTGGACACCAGAGGAAATAGTGGCTTGCTCCTTCACTCCAGACATACAGGGGTCACTGTTTTAATTTGTTTTGTTTACTGGCTGGTGGACCTCTTGGGAGGAAGGATGCTGCAATGGATTAGGTGCAGTGACAGGTGTGTTGATATTAGTAAGGTAAGCAAGTACTTACATATATTCAAGTCCTTAGCACTTGAGGAATAAACCTGAGGACTTGACACTTATTAAGCAAGAAGGTAAGGTATTTTCCAAAGTTTAGGCTATGTACTGTAATGGATTTTTCTGAAGGAGTAAGGTGCATGATTACTTTTTTTTGGAGGAATAAGGGGAGCAGGGGGAAAACACCTGTATTTTCATAGTGCTGTGATATTGGATCACTAGCTTTTTCTTTTAAAATAATGTCAAATAAAGAATACAATACTTAATTGCAGTGGATATTGACTATTTAGAATACGTGCAATAATTTGACATACTGGAACACGTTCAAATATGAAGAGTGGGTGTGGAAGCTTTGTGCTCCAAAGAAACTTGCCCTTGTTTTTTTTCAGGATAGTCTGTATTATTTATGTGCACAATACAAAAGTATTCCATGACATGTAATGCATTATTAGTGTTTAACATTAAAAACTTGCCATTGTTTAATATGCAATTTATGTAACAAAAGAGGAAGTAATTCCTGTGCAGCCTTTTTTTTGCATATTGAACAACCCTGATTTTTTTCCTCCTGGTAACTCACAGCAGGAGAAGAGGAAAAGTTGTAGTCATTCTAACAGCTTTCAAATATTGAGGTGTAAATGCTTTCTTAATCAACTGAGGATCCTTCTTGAATTGCCTGTAAATTGAGGGGGAATAGGATGCACTTCTGCTTTTTAACAGTGTCACATAATCACTCCATGAGATTTGTGTATGGCAATTCAAGTAGAGGCATGTGTTGAGAGAAGGGAAGGGTTGGTGGGATGTGAGGTTCTGACAGCCTTTTAAGACAAGAAAACAGGTGTCTCTAAGAGACATCTTGTTCATGCCTTTCCAAAGTGCACCTACACAGCACGCTCATATGCAGCAGTCAGTTGCACGCAGCACTTTCTGGTGAATCATAAATTTAAGAGGTGGGTGGATGTGTGCGCATGCATATTAAACTACTTATGTGTCTTCTAATTCCTCTCATTTGCATTCCCACACTGAATTTAGATAGTGAAGCCAATGACTTCAATTTGAAAGGAGATCTGAGTTCAAGGTGGGAATGAAAAGCCTGCCTGCCCTCTCAAACACTTTGTTAATTTGCTACATCACCAAATATCTCGTGCTGTTCCTATGGTCTTTTTTACTGTATTCAAAATCATTCATGTGTCCCAGGGACACAATTTTATTTGTCCAGTGAGATGCCAGTGTTCTTGTGTTTCAAATGAGATAAAAGTATACTGATTCCCTGCCTCAAATGTGAAATAATTCTTCTTGCAGCAATCTTTTTTGTTATAAATTATTTTAAAGCAGTTATTACCTAGAAATTGATTTTTAGATACCAACAGTTTAGGCAAAGGGAATGTATATTGAAACCATTTGTGTGTCTCACAGAATACGAAAACCTCCTCTTTCTATAACTGATTACAAAGCTAAGAATCAGCATGCTTCTCAAGCACAGATTTGGGCAAACTTTAGATCAGGAGTGTAATCTCAGCCCTCTGGCACTGAGTCCAATTACAATCCTCAAGGGATTCGTAGGAAATGTTTTGTTCCGAGAGAGTTATTCCATTAACGTGAAGTTCCTTTAATCAAGCAGATATTACTTGGTAGTCTCTTAGTCTGTCATCAAAAAGAAGAAAATGTGTTAAACTGTCCAGCAAAGTGAGAGAAAAGCAGTGCTTGTTCCTCTTTTCCATTTTAAAGATGCCTTTCGATTTGTCTGTTTTACATAGTTTTCCATCCTTACTGTTTCTAGGGGAGGTTAGTCACCTTTGAAATCTTCCTCCCTTTTGCTTTTCATTCCTTCCAAAATGCTAATTTATTGATGATAATAATAACAGCACATGGGGAAGAAGTGAGAAGGTGCAGATTTTTGTCAGGCAAATTAAATTTTTGTTTGTTTGTTTGCTGTTTTAGTAGTGTTCATACTTTGGAAAAAGGATCTTTGTGATTTTGGTTCTTTGTGGGACATTTTTTGTTAGTTCGGATTTTTGGGAGCTTTCTGGTTTTGTTTTTAATAATATATAAATATGAATCCAGCATCCAGTGCAGTAATTCCAGTGAAAGTTGAAATGCACACTGATGATTTCCTCCAGTCAAAGCTCTTAGACTTTTGAAAAGCTTCTTTAGGATTTACCATGTTTTTTCTTAATATGAAGGTTTGAACAGTCCCTTTAAATGCTTCAGTAGTTTTCAGTTAATTTTCCAGTTTTGGCCATTCCTTGGCCAAGCTAATGAGTGCACTGACTCATTGCCAGTAAAGTCACACTTACTCCTTTTTGAGAGCCAGCAATATTTTGCAAGAACATTAGCTAGTGATATACTATGCATAAGACTCAGCTTGCATTATATTACCCCTTTGCAATTAGCATTATTCATAATTAATAATAAACAATACAAGAGGTAGTTTTGATGCACTAGACAACCCAGCTTAAGAAGCAAAGAAGTACTATGAGTTGTAAAACAGAAAGTTCAAATTTTTTCATGACTCTTTTGGTTTTTTTTCTTACAGCTGATTACAAGGAGAGTTTTAATACCATTGGAAATATTGAAGAAATTGCATTTAATGCTGTGTCCTTTACTTGGGATGTCAATGAGGAGGCAAAGGTAAGGAAAAGCCATGCAGATGGCATCCCTTTATAAGTACCATCCATTGTTAGGCACTGTTCCACTTTTCTCCTTTCTGACAAATAAGAGGGCTTATTGGTAGGTGCCTAGCCTGAGAAACAGTAAAAGATTTTTTTCCTATTTGCAAAGCCAGGTGTAAGACATAAGCTGAGTTTTTTTTTTCTCTAAATTATCAATTTTCTTTCTACCTACAAGCATCTCCAATAATCAATATTCTCTAAGTTAGACTATGCCTTCTTTTGTGTTGATGCCATTATTTTTTCTATTGTTACACAGACTGTTTTTGCAATTGGGAATGAATGTATTTTTGAGGACTGAGGCTTTTTTTTTTTTTTTTTTAAACTTTTTTTAATGGTCAAGTACCCTCAGGCATGAGGTCTTTCATTCAGGAATGTGACTGTTAAGTGGACCTATAAACCAGGACATCAGAACACCTTAACTAGTTTCTTGCAGATAAGGTTGTACAAAGGCTGTCAGAGTGCTTCAACTGCATGGACTAGTGTGGGAGAAATGAAAAACTGCCGGTAATTATAAGAAGAAGTTGGCCCCCGGAAAGCAAACAACAAGGGAAATAGGCTGTGTAAAATGAGTGGGGGTAATGCAGTACTCTTGGGGATGTAAAGTTAATAAACAGCAAACACTGAGCTCGGCAAACTCCTGATAATGTTTTCATGTTGAATACAAAATGTCCAGTGATCAAGAAAAGCTATGAATCTTTCAAATACAAAAACATCTTCATGCACAATTGCCCACTGCATTTCTAGCAGCATTAGAGAGACTGCATCCTCAGAATGAGTCCCCTGACAACTTGTATTGAATGCTGAGTGGTAGCTTTAACACTCACTGTCCTGACACCTGACTGAAGGTGCTGTTTATAGTAACAGGGATTTGCATCTCTGATGCACACCTTTAAAAGGAATGACAATAGTTCTGAATATCACCCAGCTCTTTCAAAAGCAGGCCTTGATAAACAGAGTTGTACTTGGCCCAGTTGCTAATGGCGCTGTATTTACTCATGTAGTGATTACATTTTCACCGTGCCAAATATTTCCCTATTATGTGTTTCCATTTCAAAATACAGCTGTAGGTTGTCCTCTGCAGTCACAACAGGCGACTGTTGTGTGTGTATGTGTGTGTGATCACTGTGCAAGCAAATACTGATTTGGGATCTCCAACACAGCAGTCTTTCTCAAGGACCTTTACAGGAGCACTACCAGAGCTAGCATATGGCAGTCTTGTCCCAGGGCTGGCAGTTCTCTAAGGCATTTGCAGCTCCAAGCTAGACTTAGCAAGACATCCATGTTGATCTAGGAACAAGGAAGTCACATCCACTAATGCCAGGTATTAACTTCGGACATTTTTTTTAAACTGTTCACTTGGCTCTTGCTTTGGGTGCCAGAACATTAAGAACACAACTTTTGCGATGATCACTGGAAATCAAACAAGCTAAGATTTTAAAATAAAGACTCCTACTGGATTAAAAAAGCATTAGGAGTGAAATTTAAGCTGCTTGTATTTTTGCAGGAAATAGTTACTAAAATGCAAATTGGCTTATGCATATTTATTTTGGGGTATTACATATCTGATCTTTTAGGAGCTTGAACTGTAAATGTATTGATAAAAGAGGATTTATAACATGCTTTAGTGTTTGGCTATAAGCATAAATCAGATTGTACGTGAAAGCTTATCACCTTGTCTGCACTAAAGTGTTTCCCTCCCCACACACATTTATGTGTACATGCTTGCTCATGCTCTAAAGTGTAATACAGTAACTGGTTGTACTGGGTCTGGGGATTCCCATAGGATGCCCCTGCAGTGTTGGAAAGCTGTGGGTTCTGAGGCACGTCACTGAAGGCTGTTTTTTCTCCAACAATTACCTCATCCATGGGAGATGAAGAATTTCAAGGCATAATTAGACTCCCTTTTCCTAAGCTTTTTGAATTATGATCTTTCAACTGGCTCCATTGTTTCTGTTCAGTATTGTTTTCCATTTTCACCACAATTTCAAGATTAAAACTTAACCCCCTCAGAGACCCAAAAGCCTTTCTTTTTTTTTTTTTTTTTTTTTTCCAAGTCAGATAAAAGTGGCACACAACAGTTCTTCTCAGGGCCTCTGAGCTAGGATGTGATGCAGTACTCTACTGGCCCTGGAAGAAGCAAAGAAAACAAACTTCTTTTTGGAAGTGCACTGGGGAGTGATGTGGAAAATCAAACAAGCAGTAGAAATCACCTAACCAAATATACATCTCTCCCCTGGGAAACTAAATCCCACATTTAGAAGACCTATCTTGAGCATCAGATTTCTCACTTTCCTACTTCACCTGGCTGGCAGCTAATTTAAAGCCATATTTTTTCCTCATTTGAAGTCACATAGAGCAGGCCTTCCCTTCAGGATGAGGGTATAAGAGAATGGGTGTGGCAGCCAGAATCTGCCAGCCACCAGTAAGCCTGCTAAGGGTTGGTAAGGCACCATCTCATGTGGGTCTTAGTGGAATAAACAGGAATCCAGAGGGTACAGGCAGGGGCCTCTCCCTGTTGTCCCAGTAATGTCAGTGTCCATGCTTGGTGTGTCATCTTCCAACTGCTGCTTGGCACAATAAGTCAATGGAAATAGAATCTTGTACAGTGCATGTCAAGATGTGGAATAATCACACTATTGCTTTCTGCAGACTAAGGAAACAGTACCAGAGTCAGAAACACCACTCTGCTAGTGTTTTCTCTGCTATGCCTGGTTGACAGCAGCAGTCCCCTTGCCTTCTGGCAGAGCAGAGTTAGTCCTGGCACATCCTTACCCTTTTCTAGAATAACATCCTTTTTTTGCTGAGGCTGTTATCTAAAGGTCACTATGGGGCTTGTGTATCAGAGCAGGATCCAGGGAAATGAGGGGAAGGCTCTGCAGCCATGTAAAACTCAGTGCTTTCTTAAGACAAAAATATTGCTGTAAGGGAGCAGGAGTAGGAAGACAAGAACAGTTTTGTGCAATCCATCTTTGTTTCCCTCCTGTATTTAATTCTGTTATAAATATGTAACATTTATGGGTGAGGTGATTTGTTGTCTCCCTTTGATTGAACCCAAATGCTATGTTTGGTATTTTTAAGAGTTCTTTCAAAAAAAGATGAGGAAACAAACAACAATTAACAAGAACTGACTGACTTTTAAACTATCTTTTAAAAGTGTCTTTATAATATACTAGAAGCCACGTATTTGCCTTGCTGCCCTATAGAGAATTTGGCTGCAGCATCTGGCCAATTGACAAAGTTCTAGGGGAGGCTCTTGAACAGAGCTCAGCTTCATTTCTGAGAGACATTCATCTGTCTGCTTGCAGTATTAGTGCTGACAGAAGTTAGTTTGCAAGAAAGATGATTAAAGAGGCAGAATTTTCTTGATCAAAGGATAATATATTTGTCATAAACCATACCAGCTCCTTGAGATATGTCTTCTCTCTGGTATGTACTTGGTACATTTAAATTGGCTATGATGGTGTTACTTCTGAAACAATTAATTTTATATTTTATGGCAAGTACTTTTTAGCCTTAAAATCAAAGATATTACTTCAATCAACAGTTGCTAACAAAAAATTTCGCCTTAAAGAGACAATCAGTTTTCAGTGATATCAAGAGATTACAGATTTCTGCTAAGCACTGCAGCTTGGACATGCAATAAACAGACATGTTTGTGTTATTCAGGCAGGTGCTGGCAGATGAGTGAGATGATTTCAGTGAGTGCAGGAGTTGTGTGCAGAGCAGTTGTTGTGTATACTTGTGTGCAATCACTGTCCTGCTATATTTAACCAAAATGTAGATCTTTAATCCAAAGTATGCTGAAGCCCCTGGGAACCTTTCCAGTTATTTAATGAGTTTTGGCATAGCTCATACAGTAATAAGCTGTTTTCAAAGAGTGAGTGATTTGCAGGATTAGGTTCTTGGATATTGTGGACCAAAGTAAGCTCCAATTCCAGTGGGTACAATGGTAAAATCCAGCTTATAGAGCCGCACTATTTCTAGCAGTAATTGGTATTGTGACAATCCATATTTCTTAAAAGTTATTGTGATACTTAGGACAGGCTTTGACTAGTATAATTTTTTTTTTCTTAATCTTGAATTTCCTTCTCAAGTTACATCTGATTTAATTTAATTAGGAAGGAAATTAATGCCTTCTCTAAAAATGTAAAGGTTGAAGGAAAAGAGGCTTCATTTTGGGGAGTTAGTAGCAGAAATTCTGTAGGATTAGACTTTGCAGCTACTTTAATAAACTATGTCTGTATGTGCAAGTGTGCATATATATATATGAGTGTATATATAGATGTAAGACATGCACACACGTGTATATATTAGAGAAGAGTTAACCTGTGGTAGCACATAATGTTGAAATTCAGTGTATACAAATGGCTTGGTAAGTATGCATCTGGGATTCAAAGCAAATAGCATTTTTATGTAGTTGCCGGGGTGTGGTGTGGGTTGAGGAAGCTTCAAAAGAGTACTGTAAACATTAGCTGGAGACATTTGTATTGAAATAAAACAAAGGTCTTACCTTTGTGTGGGATTTATAAGGTAACGGCTGGTAGGAGAAACTATAAACCCACACTTTCTGTGTATACCAGGAATGATGGGATTGATGTTAGTCATTTGAGAGACGACTCATTTAACTCTTTGTTGTCGTTTAACTCTTTGTTGTTAGGGTCTGGAGGAAGGAACCTTTTAAAGCAGGCTTTTAAGAGACCCATCACCCAGGTTCTATGTATTGCCAGTATTCAGTAGAGAAATTGCTTTAAGTTTCTTATTTTGTGCTGTAATGCACTCTTCCCTCCCTTCTGCCCTTGGCAGTTTCTGAGACAATGGGAGCCAGAAATGTAAATAGTAATAAAAGGCTTGTATTAGAAGTTTCGTAACTGTAGAGCTTTAGTGTGTAAGCTGAGAGACCGCAGCAAGAGTCATGTTGGCTGAATTAAATGATTAAAAGGGAAATGCACTTCTGAGCCTTGCTTTCATTTAAGGCAGCTTACTGTGTTTGTGTCTTGTACATCCCTAATTATGATGCAGTATTTAACAAACAGTAATTTTCATAATAGCAGCCACACCGTGTAGAAGTGCCTTCCCCAAAAAGCAGAGTGCTTTTTCTAGACGTGCTCTTTAACAAACGGAAGAGTTGTCATTATATTATGCCACTTGTGAAACGTTCTCAGCACCAAATGTTTCTCCAAATTAGTATTTAATTGCCAATGGCATGCCTGAGCTGGAGACTAGATGGGTGGAACTCCACCATTAATTGCTCTAATCTAAGATATGCTGACATTAAAAAAAAGAAAAAAAAAATCACTATAATGACAATTATACAGTGTGTTCCAGATAGCAAAATATTGCTAAAATCCAGTTTGTGCAGGAAAAGAAAAACGTTGTATCTGAATTTGGGTACAATCATAGTCACTTTTATTAATATAGCCCTAAGACAAGTGTAGACAGGGCTTGGGAGGGAAATAGTGATTTCTCTTCCTGCTACTGTAATATCTACTTAACTCTACATTTTCTAACCATGTTAATTCTACTATGCAAAAGACCACAGCAAAGGAGATCTTAAATCTGGGTATCTTCTAAGAGAAGCAGAGCAGCACTCCTTTTCATGGTTGCCCATGGAGCTGTTTTGGCCCTTGTCTCGTTGAGAGTAGGAGTACATGCATTACGGGAGCTGGGAAGAGGGGGAAGGTGAGTGTTGCAAAAGGCAAAGCAGGCTCTGCTTGGAGAAGTGGCTGAAATCAGTGCTGCTCAGAGCAGGTCACTGCTTTGGGGAAGTGGTTTCTGGTCAGACCAGGGGAGAGAGAAGGGTATTGTCCTGATGTTTCTCCGGGTCCTCTTCACCATAGCAGCCTGCTTCACTGGTGCAAAGACATGCAAAGAAAAAAAGGAGCCTAAAATAAATAACAGAACCTATGTCCACTTCCCTTTCCCTCTATACACCCCCACGTTTCCAAGTCCCAAAGTCAGTGTGGTGCTTTACAGGAAAGATAATAGAGCATTGCATGAAGACAGAAAATTTCCCCAGTATGAATGATCTGTGTTAATTCGAATCCATCTGTCTATCTGTGAGGTGCAAATGATATGACAGCGTAGTACACTTCATGTGCATGAATGTACAGTCATTGCTCCTCAGAGAGATCCTGATTTATTACAGTGTCAGGACAAGATATTGAGTCTTACAGCATCTATCTATTATTCATGCTGAATAATCTATTGTTGCTGTATGGGGACTCTTGAAACTGTAAAGTCTGTCTTCCCCAGCCGCTCCTACTCTGCTCTGTGATTGTGGAGGCAGTGAAAGAAATGACACAGTGTATGTAGCTGATTAAGGTGGGGTAAGATCTGTTTTTGCTTCTCAGCTGAGTGTGTAGCAAGGGTGGGAGATATACAAACTACTAGGTAGATGCAAAGCCTGCATGTCTTCTCACGTTTGAACCTACATTTTAGAAAATCCCTGTGCAGAAGTATGGGCTAAAATACAGGGAGACCAGATTCTGTTTTATGCCAGGCTTCGTTGCACTGCTGTGTGTTCACACACACTTTAAACCACTGTCCTGACACTATAAATGATTCTGTAGGCAAATGAAAATTCAGGCTGTCATATTTCAAAGGCGTATTCGCTATGTCTACACTTATCTTTGGGCCTGGAGGAGATCAACTTGTAATTTGAAACAGAAATAACACTATCAGCTTCAAAATCAGAGTTTCACCTAGGGCCTTTCCCTGCCTCCTTCTTCTCTCCGCAGTTAAAGTTCAACTATTTCATTTGTAAATGCAGCTCTGTGATACAATCAGAAGCAGAGAGGTGGGGCCATTAGCTCAGTCAGGCAAACAAGCTGCTCTGGCTCCATCATAAAGACCCTGGCTGTAACGTTAACTTCTGCCAGGAGGGCAGAGTATCCCCCACCAGCCCTGCCTGGAGCCCTTCTTCATTCTCAGCTGGCTTTCTTAGGGATGTTGCATACTGGTCACTCACACTGTTGGTTTATTTTCCGTGTTTGTGGAACGGAGGGGGAGGAGGGGGGATGTCCTTCACTCTCTTCCTTCAGGAATTCTCCCAGACCCCAGGAGCCTCCTGCCTTCTCCTCTGCTCGGTGATGTGTGCATCAGGTCTGTTTGAGAGACCAGTTTGAGATCTCTTCTTTCCTGAGTGTCTCCTTATTCTTCTGGGGCAGGTTTCAATTCACATTCTCCTGGTTCAGAAGATACGTACTGCCAATTCTCTCAGTCCTTTTCCTCGGTTCACTTTTGGGGTTTTGTTTTGTTTGGTGTTTTGTTGTTGCTATTTAAACTAAGGGAAAGTGAAAAGTAGAATCAGGTTAATACACAATTGCCTCAAATTATTATGTAATGCACATATTCCTCACTGGACTGAAAATTAGATTTTTAATCTAATTTCATCTCTTTTGTGCACGCCATCCTGACTGAAAACTATCAGTGATATTTCAGTTCATAGTGCTTGCTTTACATCAGAATAGTCCTTGGAAGACTGGTGGTGGGAGAGCCTTCTCCCAGGCCCTGTACAGATAACACACACCTTGTCCCATGGTGCTAGTTGAGTTAAAGAGGGAGATGATCAGTGGCTATCGAGTTGTAAGCTTTTCTTGTAGAAGGAGAGCAAGAGATGGATTTCTGAAGCATAGGCAAGCAGGGGACTTGCTAGCTCAGTTGATTAAAGCATGATATTAATAATGCCAATGTTGTGGGTTCCATCCCTGGATGGGCCATTCACTTTAAGAGCCAGACCCGATGGTGCTTCTGAGTGCCTTCCAGCTCAGGCGATTCTGTGACTCTCTGAATGCAGGTCAACTTATGCGGATGCTTTGTAACAAAGAGAACTTCTGAGAAGAGGTAGGGAGTAGTTTTATGAATATTTGAGAAATTCCTTCCAAAAATTCACTCTGTTTGAAAGACAGGGTGAGATGCATCTTTAAAACTGAGGAAAGACGGTGAAGGGCCCTTGAAGTGAAACACGGAAGTATCTATTGATGGGATGGAGAAAGTACTAGTGTTGATGAGAGTGTGAAGAAAATTAAAAAAAAAAAACAACAAAAACCAGTAGCGTTTATCTTTGTCCCCCTGAATTTGAATTAGCTGCCAGATGAACAAGCCATACCTAAGGCAGCTAGAGTAGGTGAAGCAAGATGATCTGTATTAACAAAGAGTGCAAACATACAGAGCAGGGTTGTAGAGTGGAACAAGTAAGGGCTAAAGACCTGACATCCACATGAGGCACATTTTAGGAGATTTTATCTCAGATTATCTTTAGTCAGTTCCCATGAACGAAGCAACTGTGAACAGCTGGAGGATCTGAGGAGTGCTCCTAGAGTCTTTCTGGTCTGGCTCTTCCAGAAAGAATCCAGTTCATGTATTCTGAGTTCTGGTGTGAATCGAAGCAGGGTAAGTTGGTACAGCCAAATGATTCACCTCAAATGTGAGCTTCTGATCCAAACTGAAGTACCAATATATGGCTTTCAAGTTTGTCCTTCTTCCCAGCACGGGAGTGCCTTTGCTGGACAGAAGTGGAGGAGAAATGTGTAAATTGCTGGAGCATGTATCATAGCTCATAGAATTAAAATATTTTTATTTTCCTATTTCTTGTCATGTATTTCCAGAAGTTTAATTGTTGTTTGCACCACATTTTAAAAAGTAATCTCTCTGGCACACAGATTTTCATCACAGTGAATTGCTTGAGCACAGACTTCTCCTCACAAAAAGGAGTAAAAGGACTTCCTTTGATGATTCAGATCGATACTTACAGCTACAACAACCGCAGCAATAAACCCATCCACCGAGCCTACTGCCAGATCAAGGTTTTTTGTGACAAGGTAAGTGGCAAGCATAGTTACTATGGATGAAGGAGGAATCTTGTTAGGCAGTTTATTGTTGCTGTATTTTAGACCTAATTAAATGTTTCTTTCCTTAAAGGATTGTATTTCATCATAACATTTGGAACAGCTGTATCACAAATCTAACTGATTATCATGTAATTGTTTTACTGTTTTGCAGCCTTTTTGGCCCTGATTCCTCAGCTTGTGGGCAATAGTTGGACTGTTTAAGGACAGCATGTTATAGGTCATGATTCTGGAATTTCAAAAAAGTAATAGTGCAAATGCAAATATCTCTATTTGGAAGGTCAGTGCTGATCACAGGCTCACATAAGTGGCAGTCTGCTGATGTAATCCCTTCTAACTCTTACAGCCAGGATAGGTAGCAGGTAAACTTCATGTCAGTTTCTCTGATGGAAAAATGAACTTTTCGGTGAGGGTCTGCTAAGCTCCCTTTTATGATGCAGTGGAAAATAGCAAATTCCAGTGACACAGCTGATGGGTTTTCCCCCTGCTTTGCATATAGTTATTTTAGAAGCTCTTTTGTTGCTAGGATTTTCTTATCAAAAGTAAAATACAAAAAAATATTATCCATTCCCATTTTGTAATTCAGTAACTATTTTTTGTGTATATTCACACTCTCTTTAGTAAAATTTTGGTTTTTGCTATAGGTATGACTGCTCCTGTGTGGAAACTAGTAATATGTTTCTGCATGTAGACATAGATCACTCCTGAATGAATTACAGTATCATGGTCAGCTGGGTATATCACCAGATGGAAACTGTTGGTCAGAAATGTCAGTAATGATTCTTAAAGGAGAGTGTGACCACTTTTCAGTTTTGTTTAGCGTCTGCCAGCTGATGACTTTCTCCATGCTGAGAAAGATCTTTTGTAGGGGAGCTGATGCCTGGATTCTAGTCAAGGTTCAGGGATTCAGGAGCCTACATCTATTTAAGTGACTTGGAAATTTATCCAAATTAGTCTTGCCATCCTACTATGGGAATAGAAAGACAAAAGGCCATGCCCCAGGCAAAACCTAACATTAACTTTTTAATGGAAAGGGTAAGAGTTCAACTGTTTCAGGTCTCTGTGTTTCTGCTCCTTCCCCCTTTTCAGTTCATTCCCTTGTTGCTGTCTTGACAACGAGATCTTGAGGGCTAATCAGTCAGCTGTGTTAGTGGAGGAAAATCTTTGGAAGTAATGAATGTAAATGTATGCACTGAGGTCTTCTTGCAGCCAAAGTGCTATGCTTTTAATTGTAACTTTGAATGTCAAATATTGAGAGATTTGAAGCTACAGCTGGATGTTAAAAGCTCAGTAAATATCAAAGTAACAAGTTGTTTTCATCTACCTGTTTCTGAAGTGCAATTAGAAAATTTGAATTATTTTAAAAAAGGAAGGAAATTCAGAGCACAAACTCATCACGGGTGACCTCTAGATACAACTGGTGGAGATTTTGAATAATAGATGTTCATTGCACCTATTGGCTTAATTGGAGCTTCAGCTATCCAGACTAGAAAGCAGGAAGTGAATGTTGAGTCTACTAATCAAAACTGTCTCAAAGCAGAAGGAAAGATCACAGGGGTGGTTAAAGTGTTATGCATATCAAAAATGTATTGGAAGTGGGAACTGAAGGGCTCAAGGGTATTGATATTAGGCTCTATATCTGTTAAATCTAAATGTAGACACACATGTAGAGCTTTTTAAGTTAATGCGGGTGTGAAATGAGAATGAGAATTATCAAGGTTAATTCACATGACAGTTTGTGCTAATTGGTACTTGGTAAGAGACTTGCTTCTCCCCAGACTCATGCTGCTGTATCTTTACCAACATCCCTTTGTCACAGGGCTTTTGTAAGTAAATAAACATTTGGAGAATTTCCACTTGCTGGTGGCACTGGGAGAGTTCATCGTGCTCAGAGGAAGGTAGCTGGTGTGGCTGGGTATCCTCATCTTTCCAAGATGTCAAAATAAACCCCTGGCTCTGGTTAAGGTGGTGCTAAATGGTTCAGTTTCTCTTGCTAGCCTGTGACTCTCCCTCCAGTGACATGGACAAAGCTTGCTGCCTCTTTGGGAAAGACCATGAAACTGAGACTGTTATTTATTGCCCACCTCCTTGTCATGATGAATTGAAGAGATATTACAGGAACATTAAACAAACCCCAGCAAACATATAATGATCTTTATAAATTCTGAAAGTGTGAACTGCTCTGTTATGCCCCAATCTGACAGACTCAAAGAGAAGCTGATGAGAAAAGTACCTGATTTATTGCAATCACCTGGACTAGTGGAACTGCACAGTAAATTCCTCCTGCCTAAGTATGAAGTGTTTTTCATTTTGGAACATGGAAGAAAAAATGTTTCTGTGCCTGAGGTGTTATTACAAATGTTTCTTTCTGCAATGGTGGTGCCTCTTTAGGACCAGTGGGTGTATTTGTATATTCACTTAGATAAATCACAGGTGAAGGTGTCCAGTTTTTAAGAACATTCGTTGACAAATTAATGTCTTGTAGCTGCAACACAGCATAGCTGTTGTGGAAAGAGTTATGTTTGAAGAAATAAAACTGCATTTAGCTAAGTGGTAGATATTATATATATTAGTATTTATTCTGGCAATTCCTTGATTTTAGTATTAGTTTACATGTAAACTAGAGAACAACACCAACTCACATCCAGCATGTGCTTTGTGACATAAATGTATGGAGATAAATGCTTCAAAGGCTGTAAATGTTACTTAAGAAATCTAATTTTACCATTCTCTCTATTTGTTTTCCAATCTTTTGTCCATTTTTGTTTTTCAGTAGGCAACTTCAAAGCATTTGTTACAGACCACATCTTTTCTCAGTGCTAATTCTCTGCCCTTGCAGTCTTTTTATCATGTGCAAATCACTGATGCTGCATTATAAGAATATATAATTTTTATTCCTTAAGTAGGTTGTCAGGGAAACTTGCTACCAGGGCTATTTATATTTATATATTGCATGATGCTTTAGCCACTGTGTATGAAAAAACTGGGACTTCAGAGCTACTTGATTTTCTATACTTGATTATCTTTGCCGAAAAGAAGCAGAAGTTGGCAAATACCATAACATTGATCCAAAATAAAATAAATTAATCCAGTTTTCTTTAACCTGAAAAAATGTTCACATGAATATTTACAGTTCTTGCATCCTTGTTTTTGGAGTAGAACACCATAGAGAAAATGGACTATCATAGACTATTGAGCAACTCCAATTGCATATCAATCTTCAGCTTTGGAGAGAAGAAGGCTGATGTCTATGTGCCTGCCCAATGCTTTAGCCTGGAACTAGAAGCAAGTGTACATATGAGCATCAGAGTGGTGATGGGAATGGTCTTTATGAGAGCAAGGGCTTTGTCAGGCTGGAGCTAGAATGCAAAACTTAAGTTTAAATGAGTTGAAGCATTAGAAAGAAAATACTTTGAATCAGCTGAAATTCATAGGCTGCATTTTGTTCATGATTAGTTGCAGTAGTACTCCATGCATTTATACAAGATATCAGTGGAAAAATTAAGAACTCATTTCATTATTTCACTGGCCACAGCATAGTTTATAGTCCCCTGTAAGAGGGTTATTTCTTCTGTCCTGAAGTGATGTGCAAACCGTAGTTTTTTAGGTATGTGTCAGATGGCTCAGCTGTCAAAACTATGCGGCAGAAATGCTCTAGTATGCAAAGATCATTTTGTGGTCTCATCCCTGTGACAGTGACATCCATCCTGTAGGCTTGGCTGGCCCCTGCCATGTGCCATGACTGTTGCTCCAAGCTCAAAAGGGCTGGTAGGTAATTTTATGAGTATTGCAGTTGCCACATTTGTCAAGTGGCTATGGCACAAATAAACACTGTTGGATGGGAATGACTTCCCAGCTCAGGAATTGCCTGCACTCCAGAGATCTTTGGGCATGTTGCCTTGAATGAATGAACGAAGAGAAAGTTGTGAAGTGTCACCAAGTTTATGGTTAGAAAGCATATTACAGAAAATCAGTGAAACATATATTTTTTTATTATGTAAGAAAGGCTGAGTCCCCCTCAGTTTCTGTTTTCCTGAGAGGAAACTCACACTTCCTGCCATGTATGAAATATTTTGGTGGTTCATCCCGTTCCCTGTGAGCAGCAGAGTGGCAGGTAGGGCTGTGGCCACCTGGCAGAGCCCTTTGTGCAGCACAGGTTTCCCAGGATGTGCTTTTTGCCAAAAAGTGGCTGTGATGTGTATTTTTACTCCTTCCTTAAAAAGAACAGGTGGCTTTAAAGGTTACAAATGTACCTCTAGAAACAATTTTGATAAGTGCATAACTTTGAATCCCTTGGCTTCTGTGGTTGAGGTTGGTGAGTGACAACTGTACTGGCACCTGGTCTGGAGGCAGTGTTTCTGTTTGGCACATTAATGTTTTCCTAAAGAGCTATTTCTTCCTCCAGCTCTTTCAGCCTCTGGAAATCTACTGATAGATCGCAGCCAGGAGCACATCTTTGTTCCTTGCACTCTTTTTAAACTTGGTGCATTGACTCATGCATGAATTTTGCCATCTTGAGTGGGTATTTTTTGCTTTCCTTACTTCTCTCCCTTCCCTTTCTATTCAAGAAACTTCTAATTTTAATTTGGAAAAAAAATCGGTAATCTTGCATGCCAACTGTCTGGGAGCATATGGATCTTCATTACCCTTCACAATGTGATAGTATTATTTATAAAGTAAATTAGGAGAACTTCAAAGGAGATGTTGCTGCTTTTTATGTCAATAACAAATTTTATTTTTTAAACTTGTTGAGAGTATATTTACATAACAGAAGCCTGAAGCTTCCCAGGAGTTCCTGGTGCCTAATAGGGCAGTGCTACATTGCTTTCCTATTTCTGGAGAGCTTCTCCCAGTTTGAAATGCCTGCGTTTTTCTGTAAGAACCCTTGCAATGCTGGCAAGCTGTCAGCACAACCTTTTTGGACTGTCAGTTCTCTAAGGCTCTGCACATCTGGCTGCAGTGGAGCAATGCCACTCCCAGACAAAGTGGGTGGAGGAGAGTTTAGGGAAGACCTCAGCACAGACATTATGTAAAATGATAGCAATCCTGGAAGTGTTTTATGCCATTACATACACAAAATATTTGGCCTGAGCACTCTGTCCATTGCAGAGGCACTGGGCTTAGGATGCCCTTTGCACAGGTTATGTTGGCATCAGTCCTGCTACAGACTGCACACTGCCTGTCCTGGGCCCTCCAAACCAAATGTGGATATGTTCCCTTTGTTGTCTGCAGCTCTGGGACCTACTGAATGTGCCAGCTGAGTCTCAGGTACAGGTGATCCATGCGAAGCCTGGTACCTTCCCAACAGACTGGCTAGATATGTCTTCAGTGAAAGAACCAGTTTCTCTTTTAGCATTTCTGTGTGTCTATTGCTGTAGTTCCAGGCATTGCAGAGTACAAGGCTCACAGTGCTTCCTCTTTGGGTAATATCTGCGGGTCTTTTTTGCATCAGGGAGCAGAAAGGAAAATCCGAGATGAAGAGAGAAAGCAGAACAGGAAGAAAGGCAAAGGCCAGGCATCCCAAGCCTCATGTAATAATGGTGAGTAAAGTGGGCCTTTCTGGTCTGGGGCTAAGTCATGCTTAACATGCTTCCTTTCACAACCCTGTGCTTTGTGATTCACCTAGCAGCTGAAGGGAAGTTGAGTGCACTCCCTCTGCAGAAAAAGAGTGATATCACCTTCTTCAAAACAATGGCTGACCTGGATTCCCAGCCAGTTCTCTTCATACCAGATGTTCACTTTGGAAACCTACAAAGAACTGGACAGGTAGGAAATAATGAGATGAGAAGGTGCCCACTTGCCACCTGGCTGCCTGTATTCTGGGGCAGGTTTTAGGGAGATAAATCACTGTTCCTGGGGGCTGCTAGTTTCAGCTCTCCTTTTGGTAAATGCAGTTTTGGTGCATCCATTATAGATGAACTACAAGAGACAAGTACCTTTCTGAGTTCTGGGTGCGAAGGAGTTTATACTTCTTTGGCAACTGAATAGTTTGGTTTTGTTACACTTTTGTCATTCTTTTGCTTTTAAATATAAGGTTGATTTGTGACTGAAACTCAATCTGGTTTTGTGTGCACTCTTTGGCTTGGTGAAATGAAGTGCCACCTTGTGGTAGCAGAGATCCCCCTCCCTGTCACAGCTGAAAACAAAGACCAAGCTCTTACACGTGTAGGAAGGTCAAGAGTAGGGTCACTGAACACCATTACCCATCTTCTGTCGGCATCACCTACAGATCTGGAAATTCTTTGAAAAAAATATTTTCACTCTTCCAAGTAAAACTCCATCATGCTGATGGTAATACTCAGTATTGGCAGTTATTATCACTAGTAAACATAAGGAAGTCTTTCCTTACTTGACTCTTTTCTACTTTATCATCTGCTGGGAAGTTGAAAATGTGAACTGGAGAGTCAGCTCTGACAACTTTTTTACTATGAATGTGTTATTTATTAACATCTCAGGGAGCAGAATGAGACCTTTATGCATGTGTTTATAAAGACAAATAGTTGATGGGGAAATTTAATATGCATCTTGCTGAAAAATAGTAAAATGATGAAGATTAAATGAAACTGAATGTTGGAATTGTCAATTATTTTAAAGCAGTGAGAATTGTGGTTGAGCAAAGCACAGAGAGCACAGACATTGTAATCACAGCTGTCACTGGCTTGCTCTCCCAAGTTGGAAAGACGCCCACGCACATATCACTGTTGGGTACCTTCTGTCCTCATGGCTTTCAAACCAGAATGTGGATTTGTTTCAAAACAGGAGACGGTGGAAGCATTCCTTAGTATTTATAATCCTGTAAATAATTTTCTAAACTAACTGGAAAATATCCCCACTTCCTAGCTCTTAGGCAATATTCAGCCATGTCTTTTATTGCTGTAACTCACAGTTACAGACTTCAGCTTTGCACACACAGAGCTCTGAGCTATTTTCATTGCACAGGTTCAGCAGTGCAGGCTCCCAGTGAGACCTGAGTCTTGCCAGCACCAGTCCTGGAGACCCCCCTGGGGTGGCTTGCTCTGCCCAGCAGGAGCGACTGCAGTGCCCTGTGCCTCCACCCTGTGCTTGCACTGCAGCTCAGCAGCTGCACGGCTGCTGCACTTGTTGTTGCAGCAGTGCAGGCACGCTGTGAGGAGTTTGGCTGACTGTTGTGTAAAGTGTTGGATAACAGACTGGGATTTTATACCTCCCCTGTTACTGTCAGCTGCATTTCCTGCTGTTGTAAATTTGGTCCGGGTGACTCTGAGCCATGTGGATTTACACAAAACTGGACTTGGGCTTCTGCCCACAGTGTGTGCAAAAAATGTTCAGCTCTACCATTAGTAGTTGTATTTCCATTAGGTCTGTAGTTTAATCTTGTCCTTTGTAGTTTAATTAGATTTTCAGACAGTATTAAATACATACAACAGCTTGTGAGTGTTGTGGCTTAATCTGTATTAGAGGTAATTTAGGTGAGTAGCAATCTGATTTAGAGGATTGTAAAATAATTGGGAAAATTCTATAAACCAGGGAAGAGGATAATGTCTCTCAAATAAACTTTGATATATTTCCACTAGATGATATTCAACATCAGTTTCCCTAAGCCACACTTCTGGATGACAGCTAGAACTAGAGGTGTTTGTGTTTTACAGGAGGAAAAGGATTTTTGGCGTATGACAAACTGCAAATACTTGTTGTCTTTTCTCCCTCTTGAAGTTATTCTTTTAAGCAAGTGTCTGAGTTTTGGGAATAATTGATTTTTATTTTCATCCTTCTAGGTTTACTATAATACAGATGACGAGAGAGAAGGGTAAGATATTTTTTGTTTCACAAGTTTTGCAGTTATCAGTTTAAACTCGTAGAAAGTTGATACAAAATATGAAATCAGATAAAACTGACCCCTTTCTCCACCTTCCTTTATGTCCTCTCACGTAAACTGTCTGCTTTTTGTGTCTGTATTTTAATACATTTCCAATTAAAAGAACCCTAAGATTCAATACAGGACAATATATTTGATAAAGAAGTGCCATCTCTGTAAGCAGGAGGGTTCTCAAATAAATTAAAAAACGGGAATTTTTTATTGGAGCACTGAACTTCACTGCGTTCCTGAAAACTGTTTAGCAGGGCACACACGTGTATGCATCAGATATAGGAACTGCAGAGACAATGGCCAAGTGCCAGAAGAGAAAGGCAGAAAGACAACAGAGAACCTGGGAAGGACAAAGGTTGGAAATGGGAGTACCCTCTATCTGACTTTGGAGGGACTGGAAGAATTGAGGAAAGTCCCTCTAATAGTTAGAGATGCTATGAAATAAGGGGTTTAATATGGGTTGCTGAACTTCGGCCCACACTGTGTGCCAGCCCCATATTTTTGTAAGTTGTTTAAATCCCCAAGTGAACGCCCTCAAGTCTGAGATTCTGGAGTAACATAACTACACTGCCATAAACCTGTGACCTGTGGTAGGGAGTGGCCAAGCACTTGCAGTCAACACTGACTTGAAAACATGAGGCCTTTTTATTTCTTTTTGAAACGAATGCTCTTCATAAGGCTTATAGTGGAATTTGGAAAACAAAAGGGCTTATTGCATCAAACAATAACCACCCTCCATTCCTTCTATTTAAACAGTTAAGAGTTTTCAAATTAGTGTGTAACATTGGAACATATTTTCCTGTCAGCTGTCTCAGCCAGTCAGTCTCAGCAATTTAAGAGGCCTGGATCGTTCAGATAAGCATCAAAAGCTAAATCTTTGCAGTTTCTGCTTTTGGTGCTACTTGAGTATCTAGTGGGTGTTTTTGCCAGAGTACGAAGTGAGTCATGACTGTTGCTGTTGTCTCCTCTTCTGATGTGGGCACAGTTCTACTGTGACATGGTCCCTGTTTTGTGTATTCTAGTAGCAGTGTCCTGGTCAAAAGGATTTTCCGACCTGTGGAGGAAGAGTTTGGTCCCTCCCCTTTGAAACAAATCAAAGAAGAAGGTCTGAAAAGAGGTAACAGTCAATTCTTAGCAGTTAAAAATAATTCTGTGGGATCAAACCTCAAGCTGGGAAGGGCAGGTGTGGCTTGGACGAAGTCAGTTGTAGGATGCTAGTGCAAATATGGGTAGATGGAGAAGAGATCTTTGCATCTGCCAGTCTATAATAAAGCATTTTAACAAATGCTAGAAATTACTTAAACAAAAACAAAACAGGACTATGCTCTCTCAAGAAGGGATCAGGACACAAGTATGTAGAAAAAAATGCTAGAAAGTTTCTTGGTTCTTGGCCAAGTTACAAAGTTCATTAAAGTTCTAGTAGCAAATCTGTGATGGTCTATTTTAAACTTTTGTTCATTTTTTCTGTTCTGTCTGAGATCACAAGTAAATATGCAAGATGCATTAGGTCAAATGCAGAGACCTTAACAGACAAGCTCCTGCTGACTGCAGACTTAGATTGGCTGGAATAAAATCTCAGAAATTTCCTACCCTATTAGAAATATAAGACATGGAGAGACATCTTCCAGCAGATGTAACTGAGTTGTTTAAGGGTTTGTTTCTCTTAACTGTTTTTATTGCCCAGGTGGGTATTATTACTGTTGCATTTCATATGCTCTACCAACTCCAGTTTTCCAGTCTGCTGCCAGTGAGGCTTCAGTTGAATAACATTGAAACAACAACTTAGGTTGAGCTGTTGAACTTTGCAGTAAAGGTGGTTTTGTCCACAAAGTCTGTTTTGTGTGCAATTACTTCCAGTGCAGTGCCATCTGTGGTAACGTCCTACGCTGTCACAGTTAAACACCCTGGAGAATATTTGCCATTCCTTCATTTCATGAGTTCTGTCATGTTAGTTTATTACAAATGTAAGCAACTGAAACTTGCAAGTATTTTGAGGTTCACCTGTCAGGTGTGAGAGAACAAAGCAACAAGGTACAGAAGTGAATGGAATTTTTCTTAGTTGTACCATTTGTAAGACTCCTTTGAGCTTTATAGAAATTACTTCCCTCACGCCTGCATTTGCAAAGTTTCCATGTTGGTTAGAGTGGTGTGCTTGAACCAGGAGAAGCATAGAAGGTTATAGGATGGAGACTGATATCTTCTTGAAATAAATGTAAACATATGATTATTTTAATTAAATCTTTAATTATGTGAGGTCAACACTGACCATGGACTTGCATTTGGTTGACTCAAGACCTTGGCCAAATTCACATTATCAGAGCTCTATCAAACAGAAGATGACAGCCATGAGGGCTACATTAAGAACAGTAATTTCCTACAATTTTGCCTTGGTTTCCGAGCTGGAAGCCTAGGAAGTTGCCTGCAAGGAGGTATTGGTTTGCTTTGATTATTCCTGTCCTTTGCTGTGGTTAGTTGTTTTGATATCATTCAGGACTTGCAAGCATTTCAAGAGTAAGATTAGAAAACAAAAAAATTCAGCTGGTGGCAAAACTATGTAAAATGATTAAATCCAGGAGAGGCACAGAACCAGAGAAGCTGAAGGATGCTCTCTTCACATCTTCTTCCTGTTCAGTGTTTCTCTCATCTTGGACTATGCTGGCTGGAGGCCAAGTCTTTTCCAGCTTGGCCTTTGCTCTGGTGAACTTCCTGCCATCCAGAACCTTGCATCTGGGATTGTGCTGATGGCATGCTGCTCAGCTCAATCTACCCATTTGAGAACAGTCTTTGCCAGACAACTCACTGGGCTTTAAAATGTTTGGGGTTTTTTTCCCCAGCATTGCCATATTAGAACCTTCTTTTCTCAAGATTTATTTGGTGCAGCAGAATCAATAACTCCTAGAGAGCAGGTATAGATGGGGTGCAGGTGTAATGTTTGAGAGAGAGTAGGTCTGATATGTGCAAATATACATTAAAAGCAATGTAATCCCAAGGTGTCTCATTAGCAGAGCAGTGCAGGTAAGTAGCAGCCAGTGAGGTGTCCAAGCCCCTCTGAAGAATTAAAGTGAAAATGTGTGGCCTCACCTCTGCCTGATGGAGCTACTTGTAACACTGTCTTAGTGGAAGTAAAAATATTAGGGGGCAGCCTTCAAGTGAATAGGTCTGAAGGGGTTTGCAAACAAAGTTAATATTATCACTCAGGTAGCTGCCTCTTCTTGAATTATTCCTTCATTTCCTTGACCTCTAAGGGAAGTTGAAGTGCCCAACACAGAAATGTAGAGTATGTTAATCTGTACCAAATGTACATCACAGCTAGTGACTTGGCTTTTTCCTGTATTGAGTTCTTAGTAAGTTTTAAAATCACTTTCACATTTTGTGGGGAGTTTCCCATTAATTATAAATCCAGCGCTGAATTATAGATCAGGTGGATTTCCAGTCCTGTAGTTCTCAGTTTCAAGAAAGTAATTTTTTGTCTAGCTTTTTTCTCTTAGGAAAGTCATGTTGAACTACTTTGAAACATTTTGGATTCAAAACAATCAGGGGGTTGAGAGCCATCCAAGGGAATTTGTGCCTGGGCAGTAATGAAAACTCCAAATGTCAGAAAGGAAAGCCAAATTACAGCTACCAGCCCTTCTTTCCTTGACTAAGATGTACAACATCTTCATCCAGAGACTATTTAATAGAGACTGTAGTCATTGTTCATAGGGTGCCAGTCACAGCACTGGTAGTGCCCAGGATCAGACCTCCCCAATGCCCAAGTTTTACTGTCTCATTGTGTCTTTAGTTTCATTTTTCCTCATGTATTTTGTTGTTAAGAATTTTAAGAGATATCTAACATTGTTCTTCTGCATTCACACATAAATCTTCAATTTGGTGGCCTGGCTTCCAAAATTCTCACTGGTGCAACAATATCCCTTGCCTTGAGCAAAGGCTGCTTGCCCCTCTGCAATTTGATCTGTTGGGGATATTTCTTAAGTAACTAGAGACAAAATGATCTCCCTCCATATTTTGCAATTCTTTTTAATATCTAAAGAATATTATGGTCTGCAGTGGCTTTCAGTGCTGATAAGAAGGTTAAGGACTAAGACCAGGGATCAGACAAATATGAATTTATCTTTTAACTTTCAAACAAAAATAGCTCATTTCCTTGTACAAGATTTCCCCTTTGTTCCCCTCCAAATCTTGTAATTTGTACTGTTATAGGGGGTCCATCTAGATGCTATGAATGTGATGACAGTAGGATCAGAGGACATGAGTTGTGTTACATGGTCACAGTTATTCGGTGGCAATACTGCTGCTGAGCCCAGTGGAGTCTTTTCAGCCCTTTTCCCTCCCCTCTGGCTGTGCCTCCCACTGCTCTCTGCTGCTCTGCTAGCATGAAGGCTTGTGGGGCTGCATTGTACACTGAGGCAGGGATCTAATCTGTTTGAAGAATAACTCAAAAAAAGGGTTGTTTTTTCATTCACATCTGCTGTTTGAGAAAGTTTGTCATCCAGGAAAATTAATTGAGATGAGCCAGAGTTGAGAGGGTGTAAGGACAGGGATGAGACAGGGGCTTCCTAAGGCATTGCTGTCACCACAAGTCATTTGTGGAAAAGTGCTCTGTTGGATCAAAGCCAGGAGTTCCACACCTGTCGGGGTAAAGAAAAACCTAACAACCCCCCATGTGCTTACTAATCCTGGCTCTCTGTGTGTATAATGTTGCCTGGCACACTAAGCACAACAGAGATGTAAAGCTCAGCACCAGGATTGTGTAATATACCCAAGTTTAACCTTGGACCAAATTTTTTTTTTTTTCTCCTTCCAGATATATTTGTAATTGTTAAGGCTGGCAGAGCCCCAGATGTTTGTAAAGCCAGGAGTTACAGGACAAGGAAAAGGTTATAGTCACAAGGAAAAGGTTTACTGAATTAAAAAAAGTGTTAGTACTGGTAAAATTAGCCCATTGAGTGAGTGCTTGTTCATGCAATTAAACATATCAGGTGTGGTAAAATTTAACTCCTGGTGTGGATTTTTTTAATTTTTTTTTTCCATTTTGAAAGTTTAAGTTGTGACCCAAAGTTGTCTCAGCTTCTAAGTCTATTAAAAGCATGTTCTCAGGCTAGGCCCCAAAGAGTTGCCAAAATATAGGTGAAAAGGATGTGGCTTTGGTTGCTGTGGTAGCAGTTTTGTTCCTCGTATTTCTGAATTGAAGATGCAAAAAACCCAACACTGTCCTGCATGTTTCATTTGTAAGCCGAGTCAGGGGGCTGAACTACCCAGCCATTTTTTTCCAGTCATTTCAAAACCTGGGCAAAGAAGCTGTAATGGGCCCAAGTCCATCCTGCTAGAGTCTTGGCCTGAGAATTAACTTCTACACAATTACTTCCATATGAAAAATACCATCATATTTTTTGGTTCATTTGCTTGTCATCTATTGAGTTGTCTGGTGAACGTATCTCCTGGGCCATGAGAATTTGCAGTCTCAAAAGATGCCCTTTTCTATCTGCCAAAAAAAAGGTTACCAATGTAATTTGTCACACAGACATGTCAGTGCACGTGTATTTGTACCTCATGTGCAGCAGTGCTATTTGAAAAGGCAGTTTATTTAGGAAACAAAATAAATTGCAGAAAATCTGATTTAACTGATTACTTATCAGTCATGTGAGATGATGCCTAAAACACTTTTGTAGTGTCTATGCTTATATGCTTTGTACATGTCTGCTTTGCTTTTGCTGTGTTATAGCAAGGTTCCTCCTTTTACCTGTATAAGTGTGAAGAAAACAAAAGCTAGAGGGGGCAGGGGACTGTGCCTGTGGACAGCTAACAGCTAGCAGAGCATCCGAGGGAGGAAGAGCAACAGAAATGGCATTTGGGTACCTAAGCAGGTGGGCACACTGGTAAATGGCTGCCTGCCAGCTGTGCTTTTGAATGTCTCCCCTGTAAATTCTCAAATTACTTTGAATTAATTTTTCCCAGTGTTTATTTTCATACTGGTCAGGCCATTTGCAGTCATCTGCATGGTAATGTCAGAGACAACTATTTCTTTACCTTTTCTTTGATTTTGCTTTCAAAGGCAGAACTAAAGACAACCCTCAAGACTTGCTTTTTTTGACTGTCCTTTCCCAGGTTTTTAGATGAAACCTGGAGAGGTACAAGACAACACAGAGGTTTAAGAAGACCTAACTTGTGTGTTTTGTCATATAACCAAGGGACAAGGCCCCAGAGCTTTTTAGCTTCTTTCTGTAAATGGAGATTTAGATTCTAGGAGATAGAGTTTCTTTACATTAGATTAAATTTGCTGAATTTTCAATAATGTGTTTTCAACGCAACTATGATGTGTTGTCCATGTCTAGATCAGTGATGATATTAAATGTACATCTTTTAAAGTGCAAACCATCTTCAGTACTTCATTTTATCTGTCATGGATTAATATTTGTTTTTCTATTCATTTTGGGGTATTTAATCTATGCAATTGACTGAACCTGCTTCAAGTTTGATTTTTTTCTTTCTATTTCAGTGCTTTTGTATGTGAGGAAAGAGACAGATGAGGTGTTTGATGCTTTGATGCTGAAATCACCAACAGTAAAGGGGCTAATGGAAGCTGTAAGTATCCGATGTCATCAGATTATTTGTCTTTCTTGGCAAGAAAATATTGAGGCTTTCCATGTATTATTGAGATGAACCATAATATAAAGATGAAGTTATTGTCAAGTGCTTTTAAAGCATTTCTTAAAGGGTTTCTGGAGTCCAGCTCTGAAATGCTGGCATTTTCCTAATTCAGCATTGTCAGCAGGTTACTGGGTTTAAACAGCATCACAAAGCTGATTATTGGTGAGGAATAGCAGTAGTTAACCAGTGTCAGGGAAGGAGAGAGATGCAAGCTTCATTTTCTGAAATGCTTCTTTCTGAACTGACGGTTCAGAGCCTGTTGGATCTTTTCCTGTAATGCTTATCAAAACATTCCCAGCCTGGTTTCCAAGAAGAGGCCCAAGGATGCACTGCTTCGGTGGGAATTTCATACGGCCTTTGTGAAATTGCTGTTCAGCATGTAAGAGGCAGGTGCTGAGCCAGTGCAGACTTGTCATTCATATGTTTTCTCAAATTCCTTTTCTAGCCCTCACTTACAGTGTGACCTACTTACCAGTTGCCTTCTTCTTTGAGTTGCGTTTTTGTTTGTTATCCATTAGCTGTCATCATAAGAGTTGCTGTTTCCACATTTAATCCTGTTTATATGGGCTAATGACATGTGAAATTTGGCAAGGGAAGAGTTAAGAAATAATCACGTGTCTCACTGCTTCGGTGGAGGAATGTGAATTGACATGTGGGATACTGAGTTGATTTCCAGCTTTGTTTACGTGTAAGGGAGAAGACAGAAATGGATGAAAGTGCCCCTAGAGAACTCAGCCAAGTGCTAGAAGCATGTATATTTATACTCTCTTAAAACTGTCACAGTATCTTGTTGCATGTACTGAACACTTTTAATGCAGTAAAGATTGAGTTATTTGGTCAATATTTGGCCAGTTGCAGAAGGCAGAAGAAGATTTGTGGTTAAGTGAAGTTGCTTAAAGCACCTATTTAGATGAGGATATCTCTGAGGAGAGTCAGTGGCACGCTAAGGATGTCCTAGCTGTGCTTCTGCCGATGCTATTTGTTAGCTGTGACTGCAGCTCAGCTGTCAGGCAGAGCACATGGATAACAAAAACCAGGCTTTGCTTGAAGAGGCAGCAGTCTGATTCATGGCAAGCTGAATCTTGTCTTTGTATGGTAGTTAAAAGTATGTTATAATCCTTCTATAACTGTTCAAGCTAGCATGAATATTTTATCTTCAGTAGTCTGTTCCTCTCCATGCCTGTTCTCCAGCCACCATGTAAGAAAAACAAAGCTGGTGCAGAAGGAGGAAAGGTTTTTGCATACCTCAGTCAGCACAGCTGCTGACTCACTGGCATGTTTTCAGCACCAGAGAAATCTAATCTGTTGTAAAATGTCCCGTTTCACTGGAACGAACACATTCAGAAAATTTTAATTCTCTTTGGTAGGATATTGTGGATAAAACAATGCCAGAAAGCTGTCAAAGTGCACATTCTCTCTGCAGTCATTGCAGCAAATCTTGTAATTTTGTAATTGTACATATCCTAAATATTCCATTCTAGTCTCAGTATTAAGAATTTAGGAACTGAGACTGAGTATTACAGAGCCTCAGATCTGAAAGAGAGCTTCAGTGATCCTCAGTCATACCCTCCTTCTCTGTTTATGGATTTTACTTTTTTTCTTTTCGTTAGTCCCTATTCTTGATCTTTGACTTTTTCCTAGCTTTCTGTTATTAATGATATGGTTTTCTCAGATCCTATGTTTATTTTATTCTCATATATACCCCCCTTTCCAAATTAGCAATTAGATTTTTTTCTCAGATATCTTTCTTTTGGCAAATATCTAGAGGTCTTGGGTTTCAGAAATGCAGCACATCTCAGGAAGCGATGCAGATATTTGGTTTTCACTAGTCAGTCTTGATCAACAGAAAAGAGCAAAACATCACACATATGTGGTGATAGACCAGCTCTACATCCTGTTTTCAGCCTGATCCAAAGTCAGGATAACTGTGGATCTCAGTAGGTACCTCAGTCTTACATTGTGCAAAATCCTGTATTTATTCAAATTACATAAGGCAATTCAAATTGGGAAATTCAAGCATCTCCCAAAGTCTATAATTAAAAACTAACAGCTGAGTTCAATAGAGCTAGCTGAGACTGTTAGATATGCCTATACCTACCTGCCTATATATGCGATCTTCCAGGCAGTGTAGGGCAACAGACCAGACCATTTCATAGAAATAAGCTGACAAAGGTGTTTTCCTACATGACTTGACCTGCCCAGATATTGCCCTGTCTGGCTTCCTGACTCCAGCAGAGAGCATTTCTGGTGGCTTGTACAATCAGACAAACTTGCCATTCCCGGGGACTGCAGCCAAAGGGACACCCAGACAGGTATTTCAGTGCCACATGGAAGGCTGTTGCACTGCTTTGGGCATCATAACAGAAAGAAATCTCTGCTCAGAAGACTGACAAATGGACAGTGGAGATGATAAAGAAAAATATTCCTCTAAATAAAGATACCTTTTTAAAATTTAATGTAGCCCGCTTGGGTTTGGGCGAGAAATCCTGTTATTTTGTGTGGAAGTTGGCAGTAAGTGGTGACCCCCTGCTCTGGCAGCAAACACTCTGAGAAGAGGGTGTTAAGTGAGATGGTCTAGCAGATGCTTGCTCTCTGCTTTCTCCAGTTCTGCAGCAGGACTTAGCACATTTATACTGGAGACTGTGAGGGGGAGACTCTCCCATAGCCCCACTTAAAGCCTTGCTTCCACAGCTTGCTGTTTGGTATAATTGATTGAATCCCAGGGGTTCCTGAGAAATGTGCTTATTCAGTCAGCTGGAAGTCTTTCGCAAAGCTCACTAATCCCTGCATGTTATATAAATCCTACACCTGTCATAGGCAGTGTGACAGGCAAGGCTTTCTCAGCCCAACCTCTCATAGTTTATGTAGGAAGTGATGTCCCAGAGTCCCAAACTGCTTAGAGCAACATTTGGAATGCATGAGTGTTAGGTATGCCAAATATCCTAGGGAAGATTTATGCTGGAATGTGCAGAATGCTGTATATTAGCTGCTATTAAGCCTCCTTGGCAAGAAATGTTTTGCTTGGCTTGTTTATTTGCATGGAGTCAGTGAAAAGTGTCTTCAAGTGCTGATCTTTACAATATCACTAGGCTTCAGAGTTAACAACCCAGAGAGGAAGATCGTTTCTTCATGTTCACACAGTTGTGGCACTTTCTGCAGTTTCAGGTTGCCAATTTTTCTCCAATGACTGTTACAAAGGATTTTTTTCAACTGTCTGGTGAAATGGAGCCTTTTTTTTATTGCTTTACATGCAAACTTAAATTTAGGGGTCCAACAGAAGCACAGATAGAAAAATTCAACACCAAGTTGTTTATCTGATGTCATTCTGTTCATGATAAGCAAAGCCAGAGGATAATAAAGAGTAAAATAACAGTGAAACATGCTGGTGCAAGCGAAACTGAAATAGCAAATACCACCCTAGTTCAGTTTGTATTTTATTCTCTACTAGGTGGAAAACTTTGGGAGTGAATGGATCTATTGTACCTCATTAGTTACTCCCCTTTCTATTAGCCATGGATGTATGTTAATAGTCAGAGGACGCTATTTTCAGTGTAAGAGAAGCTTTATTGATTCTTCAGAATCTTGGAGTTATGCTATAAAATACTCCAAGAATAGAACAGGATGCAAGAATAAAATGATTCCTGTCAGGCTGATACCCTTGTGTATTATTAGGGATAGCTTTTAAGTACAAACTGCATCTGGGCTAAGATGACAATTATGACTATTATAAGTGATGTAGTGTAGGCTTATTAATTCTCTCTTTCAGAGAATCTTGGCTGTCTGGATGGGAGCCATGCTTGGTGTTCAGCCTGTGTTCTAAGAATCTGGTCTCGGTGCTGAGTTTATCCATTCCATTTTCTCTTTCATGATAATTGCTTTAATGTAATTCCCTAAAATACCTTTTCTCAACAGAACTCTGAATACAAATACAAATAAAGGATTTTACAGTGACTGATGTTTGCCAGTCATTAAATGGATTTTTAATTATGCATTTCAGTTCTCTAATGCAGAAGATAAGTAGTCAGCTATTTAGCTGCAACTTCATTTCACTTGAGAAGAACTGGAAACTTATTTGGCTTGGCAGTAGAGCACCACAGAACATTAATCACTGGGGAAAAAAAAGTCATTTTTCTGTAACTATTTTGCCTTTTGGGACAGTCCTCTTCTAAAGTGTAAGCTGAGACCTGTTCCCTCAGAGAAGAATCATAATTTGGAAAGTGAACCTGCCTCAGATAAAGGGCCTGGGGACACCATCTTCATAAGCACACCACAGACTCACTGCAAAATAGACATCCAAGAAAGTTACTAGTACACTGTTGCAAAGCAATGCCAAAGCGTCCCAGTGAAGTCCTTGTTGACATGGGTAATTTGTCAGCTAATTAGCTCTTCCTTCTAAAGTTTTACTGTATTTTCTGCTTTGTTTTAATTGCTTTAGTAAGAAGTTTTACAAGTTCTTTACCTTGATAACACTCTTTGCTGTGATATCTCTTCTTGTTATCTATATACTCAGATGATGTTTTGTGACCCAAGTAGTGTTTTCATTTTGCTACTTTAATAACTAGACTGAGTCACCTTCCCAACAATACAGAAGCTTCTTAGTCCCATGTGTTTGATGTCAGTAGCCCTCCCACAATAAAAGGTACCTTGGAGATACTTTTCAGACAAAAGTACCACCATGGAGAGTCCTGTTAGCTTAACAAACATTGAAATGTCTTTGAGAAATAGAAACATGTGTTTTTGTTGGTCCATCAGCTCCTGTTGGGTTGCCATGTGTCTGCCTTCTGCCTGGTGGGAAAAGACTTTGCTTCCATGAGCCCAAAAAATCAGATTAAGAAACAACAGAAAGATGAGATGAAATTCCCTGGTAAAATGTGAAGCTGGGAAGAGCAATGACTCCTTGAGCAGAGTGCTAGGAGATTCTGGGGCAGTTCTGATGACTCACGCCCTATAAAAACTACAGTATCTGACTTTCTGGATGGAGACAATTGTGGGGTTTGATTAAGGTGTTTGGGATTACTGCTCCCCAAGTCATCTGTAAATGAAAGCATCATAGGGTTGTGACAAACTTTTCTGTATAGGTATCCTGTCAAAGTTTGCAGAGATTTTGTCTTAATGTCTTATGTAGGGTAAGAGGTGATAATTTTATATTTCTTACTCATTTTTAGTGATATTTCTTTTATTTTTTTTATTTCAGATCTCTGAGAAATATGGGCTGCCAGTTGAAAAGATTGCAAAACTTTATAAGAAGAGCAAAAAGGGGTAAGTTAGTTACCTAACTAACTAAGGATCTATTGCAGAATCCTTTAGAAGTACTCAGAGATCCCAATTATACTTGAGGCCTCATGATGCTGGGCAACACAAACTCCTTCAGGAGACATACTCATGTGCCTGAAATCTTCATGTCTATGGAGACTGTAAGGGATGGCAGAAGAGGAAACATGGACCTCTATGTCTGACCAGTGTTCATAAGCTTACTGTGAAGAGAGAGTTTGTGGATATGTGGATAAAGCCTGTTTTGTAGACAATTAGCTTAATAACATTGTGGAGGGCCAGCAGGGGAGATGCTGCCTTTGCTGTGAATGCAGCATGGAGTTTTCCTGCAGTGTTAGGAAGAAGTAGGCCACTATCTTACTCTGAAAGACAGGCAGGCAATGTTTGCTGCAGGGATTTCAGATGAATAAATTTACACATGAACATCACAGCTGGGCTTTTAGAATAGCTAGGCTTCTGCTCCTTGCCATAAAACTAAATCTTTTCACTTCAACTTTTTTTAAAGTTCTATTTAACCCTGATATTGTAGTGATATAATTTTAAACTGATCATTTATTTTCAGCTGTAACTCTAGCTTAGGGCATTGTTATGTCTGGGGATTTCTTTAGCTTTTGAGAAAGCAGGTGAAACTTCTCATGTTTTACTTCTTTCTGAGTGACAGAAGAAACACTTGGAGATAAAGAGTGAGGAAAACACTCATATACGCTTCTAATAGTCATTGTTGATAGTCTCACATCAAAGCTAAGTTCTAAGTCTGTGAGCTGTGTGCAAAGCACAAATTACACTGCTTCCCTCTGTTAGCAGCTCACACCACAGAGGTGCAGCAGCTCACATGGCATGGCTGAGAAGTAGCACAGACATGTCTCTGTGGGAGCCAATGCCAGGCATGGGAAGCACCAGCTTCTGCTTCTTCCAAGGGTCTGCCAGGGATCTGAAGTGCATCTCACCTGTAGTTAGCCTAAGGGTGTTAACATCCCAGCCACTGGTGTATCTCTTAACTACTCTGGCAAGGAGCAGCCTCTAATCCAAAAACTGTAGAGTACAGGGCAGATCTTGATGATAATTCCCACTAGTGACCCTGTACTGGCATGTGCTGGAGTCTGGTTTTATGTTGTAGAGAAGCAATGTGGGAGAGTGTATGGTTTTCTCTTTCAGTGTCCTGGTACGTAAAAACATTGATTTCTGCCTTTTTCACCAGTATCCTGGTAAACATGGATGACAACATTATTGAGCACTACTCCAACGAGGACACATTCATCCTGAACATGGAGAGCATGGTTGAAGGCTTCAAGATCACACTGACAGAGATCTAGCCTCAGGCAGAGCCTTTTTGTAAGGAACCACAGCATTTCATCCTTCTTGGAAAGTAGATTCCCCATGAAGTTGACAGACATTGATCAGAGAAACTGTTACAAGACTGCATTGAAAATACTGTCCATTCTGCACATGTGCACCCACTGCAGATAGACTTGGGTTTGTCAAGCACAAGACCACGTTAACCTGGTCCCTTATTTATTGTTCCCCACTCTCTAGTGTACAAGCAGTTACCAGCCCCCAGATTTGTAACCAGATGACCCACTGCAAATGTGAAATGCAGCCTTTTAATCCATACTTCAATGTGGATAAGCTCATTCTAAAGCATGTTCAGTAACTATGCTGGTCTAATTTCAGAAATCTGGTATAAATCACTTTACCAGTAGTTGTCTCTGTCATTGCTAAAAAATCTGTTGCAGTGCTAAAGATGGGCCAAGTGGCTGACAGTTCACTTGCTCAGAGTGATCCATATCTCTCTATACTGTATAGTCTTGCCAAATACCTCCGGTAGTTCTCAGCACGTAGCAATGAGGACTTGTAAGTAAGGCATTCATCTACAAATGTCACTTGTAAGTAAATGGTAAAGAAACCATTTTAACCTTGTATATAATGTTTATAATATGCAATAATATATTTTAACTACTGTATGTGGGCATGTTTACTGCCACTATGTTTTTATATGTATTTGGTTTAGGGTTTAATAGAATCTTTCCTAGAGGATTAAATTGCTGCAATCTGTTAAGGAATGTGTATTGAGAAGCTGATAACTGAATCTGTACTCATATGCTCCATCCTTGCTCACACAGCTGTATATTGAAATATTAGAGCAGACTCTGCTACTGGATCTTGGATGCTCTGGCACAATGGGGCCCACCTTAGGTGCCCAGGTCCCAGCTGCAACAAAATCCAAGAGACGCTGCGTGTCTGCTGCCTGGCTTGCCTAGAGGTACAGAAGGGACTTCTTCCTGGTTGTCTTCCTTTGATGAAGCAGAGGCTCCTAAAGTGGCCTTGTCTCAAACCTGTGGTGGGAAGGTTCTTTCTGCAGCAGCCTGTGCATCAAAGCATTCCTCTAGACTGTAAGAAACAGGACTTCAAACTCTTCATTTTGAGTGTATTTGCTCTTGTATTTCCATTGAATGGTTCTGTTGTGATTCCTAGGACACTTGGGTGACGTATAAGCCTGAGCTTGATGTAAATATTTTCTCAAAACTGGAGCAATTGTTCCAGTGGAAACTGAGTATCTCACAGCTGAGGTGTTAAGAATGATCTCTCTCTCAAGGGCTGCATCTGAAGCCAAGTTGAACTACATGGTTATTCCATCAAATTCCACGCCTGTCTTACAAATTCTGTGAAGAGATAAAGTTGTGCAGGCTAAAATCATACCAGGAAATGGGTTCAAGGCCTGAATGTTCATGACATCCAAACCAAGCATCTCTGTCTCTCCATTCCAGCTCCTCTGGCTGTTGTAAAGAGCTCCTCACTTAGCATGTAATTCCATGAGTTTCAGTTGCATTTTATTCTGTATGCACTGTACATGGATCCTGTGTGACAGACAGAAGTGTGAGTCCTTTCCTACATGCAGCCTTTAGAGTTTATTCTTTTCCTTCTAAAACCTTTTCTTCTTTAGTCACACAACCTTTATTATTTGGTGATCAATGGCAGAAAGAAACACTGCCTAGTTTAACAGGGCTCATGTAGTGCTTAGAGCTGTGTGGAGCTATTTACATTCAAGCAAAGTAGCTGGGATCACTGACCAGTCTGATTTGGCCATCTCTGCCTGAACTGTCCTGTAAGTTCTTGCACGCTTTCTTAACTTCATTAGAAGTAGCATTCCATTAAAATCTCTTCCTTTAACAGAAATGTTAGGTATATATCAAGGTTTCTGTGGGACCAGAAACTATAAAAGGTTCAGGCTGGTAGCATCAGCACTAACATACCCAGAATCTACATATGCTTGTAAAGCAAAGAATGTATTCTTTCTTTCTCCTGCCCTTTTCTTTTGTCATGCACTCTTTCCCCTTCTGGTGCAGAGTTCTGTTGTAATTTCCTTAACTTTATATAAAAATGCACTCCAGCAAAGATGCTCTTGGTACCCTGCTCAAGAGCAAACAATCTGGGAATATAAGGGATTTATGATGGTTCAGTTTGTTTCTATTTGGCTCAGACTGAGATAAAAAGTTATGCTGACTTATCCCAGATATTTTTTTCTTAAAGAAAAAAAGAGGACAGTTGGACAGGAGGCGTTAGGAACTGGGACCAGTACACAGGACTGTTGAGCAATAATGTTAGTTCTTGTATTTCTCTGTTGGTGTTTGGAATCCTCAGAATATCATCTGGGAACCTCTCAGCTGGTCAAGATGTCTGGGCAGAAGCTGCAAGTGAAGCAAAGGAGTAAATATATGCAGGAGTTGAGCCCGGGTTCTGCCCCCAACAAACCTGCTGTCCAAGGGAATGCCCGTGGCACCTGAGGCTATCCTAGGTTGGAATGTGCTGCATTAAGAAAGGCCAGTGAGAATTTAGGGATCACAGAGAAGGACAGGCTGTCCTGGCAGCACCAGCACTCAGGTTAGTGGGATGGTTTTGTCTTACATGTTGGTCGAGATGAGCTGAGATCTGTGGGGTGCTGCAGCATTCTGTGATGAGGAGCAGAGTAGGATCAGAGAGAAGTACAATGCTCCAGGAATACTGGGGCTTAAGGACATACCTTTCCATCGTCATTTTAGGAGCTTTCAGTCAGCCACTGTCCAGAAAAGGAAAGCTGTTTCCAAGATTAAGATGTATTTAGAATAGCTTTCATTTAAAGTGTGCAAATTCCTGATAGTAGAAAGCTGATACTCCTGCCCTTAGTTCCTTCTTACTTGTCAATGAAGTTATCAGGAAGGTGACTAGATTGGTGGTAAGATTATTTTAAAACAACAGCTAGGGCTAGGTAAGTTAAGGGAGACCATCCTTATCTGCCAGGGTCTGAGGGCTTTGTTTCTCTGCTCCAGATGTAGGTGCATCACAAGCACTAAGACTAAGAAAGAGTATCCACATGACACCCCTTCAGTTATAGTATCAGCTGCTGGAGGAGCACTGAATCTTGGATCCTGGTTGTGGCAAGCTGTGAGCTCTCAGGGTTCACCTTGTTGGTCCAAATCAGCCCATCAGAGTGGTGGAAAAGGGGCAGTGTGAGTAAAACAAACTTATGAGGCAGTGGCTGCCTTGTACCCTGTTTGACTCAAAGGTCCTGAGGAGTACATAGTGCTTACATGTATATTGTTTAAAATATGCATGCTGCTTTTCTTTGATAAAAAATATTGATTAATGCTGGATCTTCCAAATATTATGAGTTAAATGGAAGTAAGATTTGGATATGTTCAGTAGGGGGCAGGAATATCTGCCTTGCCTCTTTTTGTCTCTTTGTGGCACTGCTGCGGTTATTTATTTAAAGGAACAAAATTCTCATTTGCTTCTTCAAGACAGCAGTTTTGAATCTTAACTAGTGCAGCCTGAGGAGCAGCTTGCTGCTCAGTGCATTTTCCCTATGAAGAGTTATAGCAATGCAGTGTCTGTAGATGCTGTGTTTTGAAAGACTCTGATAGAGAGGTACAAAAAGGAGAACAGACTTCTAATTTTGGTTCCTGCTGCAGATTTGGCACTTTGTCCGTCCATTTGATGTTCTATTATGAAATCCCATTCAAATTCTCAAATTCTAGTTCTTTCTCACAGTCAGTTGCTGATATTCCCAAAATAAAGTGCATCCTTTGAGTGAAGCTTTGTGGATACATTGAGATAACCCCATCAAGACGTTTTGGAGGATTATTACCACTGACTGTAAACGACAAAGAAAATGATATTTTTTCCTGTGTGTCCTCTCTCACAAGGTTTTTGGTCAATGGAATTCAGAGATCAAATGTCTGTCTTATATATTTTTCTCTTTCATTCTATGAATTGTTTAAATGTAAATTAATTCAAACAGTTAGTAAAATCTAAACTCTCTAGGTGTCAGAGATGCTGTATATTGATTGAAGTGGAACTGGAAAGAAGTATCTTACAACTTATAAAATGTAAAGCTTATTAAATGTTTATATGCTCTTCCATTTCCTATTAATTGAGACAAGATACAAACACGAATGTTTGTGCCAAAGATTGTGACAAGCCGTCTTTCTGGCAAACAAGAAAACTTAATGTATAAATAGTGTGCTTTTATATTAAGACTATAGCTCATGTAACTTAATAGTGTTGCAACTGGGAGAGGGGTTTGATAAGCTGTAAATACAGTTATTTTATTTTTTGTACATTTTTAAGAAGGAAAAAAATAAATATTCCTATGTATAAGATAATATTTCTGTGGCATGTATTACTACATCTCTCCAGGAAAAATAGTATCAGTATGTATAAATACCTGAAGGGAGAGAATGCTGAGAGGATGGAGCCAAGCTCTTCTAAGTGGTGCCTAGTGACAGGACCAGAGGCAAGTGGACACACTGAAACACAGGAGGTTCCCTCTCAAATCAGGGAATGCTTTTTACTGTGAGAGTGACTAAGCACTGGAGTAGGTTGCCCAGAGAGATTGTGGAGTCTCTATCCCTGTAGATATTTAAAAGCTGCCTTGACATGGTCCTGGACAAACAACTCTCATTTGCCCTACGTGGACCAGATGAACTACAGCAATCCCTTCCAATCCCAGCTATTCCGTGATTCTGTGACTTGTTGGAGTGTCCTGGGAACCTGGCTGGAAACAGTGACACAAACATCTTTGTGACTCCTGGGCACCTGAATTGAGATCCTTACCCACATCTGCTCCAAAAGCACCGAAGCTTGCCTGGCCACACATTTTGAGTCAAACATTTTCATCAAACATTTTATTCTCCACCAGTTGAGTTTGGCTTTTCAAACAAGATTCGGGAAGTGAGAACATCTTAGTAGGGGAGAAATTGCTTGGGCAAACATCTGCCTCAGCAAAGGGTGATTCCCCAAGCAGTAGCAGGACAGCCCTGTCTTAGAGTCGGGTGGAAGAGTTCAGTGCTCTGGATGAGCAGTGCAGGGTGAGCCAGGATCACCCATGGAGCTCATTAAGGTAATCACATTTCCTGGGCACTGCCTGTGCTAGATGTTTAATTATGTTTTATAGGAAGCAGTTTTACTGAGTGGCTCTTAAAATGCAAATGCTTTAAAGCTGCGTGGTTGGCAGTGCTCCATGTGCGAGGCCACGGAGGGGTGAGGACAAGTGTGTTGGTGATGGGAACCGCTGCCCCCACTGCGTGCTCAAGGACTGGGCTGTGTCTGGCATGGCTGAGCCAGCTTTAGCAAGGTGATTCGGGTCACCTTGATTAAACGTCATTAAGAAGACATGACCCCCTTTTTGGAGCAGGGAGCAAAACACTCCACCTCTAGCTCCAGAATGTTAGGGGACTCACTGGAGCAGCAAAGCTGTGGTTTTCAGCATCTTCTCACTCTCTTGGCTCAATTTGTGCTGCAGAAAACAGCAACAGATTCTGGAGGACACTACTTCCCAGATGGGGCCGGGAGCTGCAGGATCACAGGTTCCCTCCTCCCCCAGGTGCTGGCAGGTCCACTCCGGGATTGTGGGGGTGCAACGCGCTCCAGAGCCTGGGGCCGACGCCTTTGCACTGCGAGAATCAAGGAACAGCAGGGGTGGTAAGTGGAGGATTTTAACACCCCTGTACAAACAAACTCCTCTTTACACCCTTTCTTTTCATGCTAAATCACTTGATGGCCCTGAGGGGAGGGTGAAGAGAATGTACATCACAGGGAGTCTGGCACACTGGAAGCTTGTGTAATAAAGCCTGTTTGCACTGAGCACAGGAGTACCTGAATACTCTAACAGATGCTTCATTCAGGCTCCAGCCTGTCTCAAGCTCATATTAATTTGCAGTTCCACAAAT